ACAATGGCCAAGGAAGCAAAACAAATGGTAGGAATTAATAGGAAATATAGGGGATAAAACAGAAAATAAACACACTTTATGTACAATCCACATACTTCTGATTCCCTCATGTCAAGAAGAGTATCGTAAAAGTAGAAAGGTTCAGAAATAGGTAACAAGGGCTGAGAAAGCTATGGACAGCTTTTTGATGATGAACATGTAAAACTATCTGATTCTTCCTAAATATATAAATAAATAAAATTAACAATCACCAAATGAAGATAGAAGATGGCAGGTGAAAAAAAAAAAAAAATCTGCTTCGAACAATACCCAAACAATAGCCAAGTGTGGAGTCTGCCACAAGATATCCTGAATGCTAAATCTATGTGGATTCGAAACATGAAACTCTTCTATGTCAATTATTAAATGCAGTGACATCACCTACGGTTCAAAAAGCTCCTGAAATGCTTTTCTGGAAGGTGGCAGGAGCACTCCTATTATCAAGGATACTCCCCCAACTGGATCATTCGTCTCTCCCATTTCTTAATCTCTCTTCTGGGAAAGGAAATGGAAGAAGCATAAGGACCATAGCAACTACTATCATTGCAAAGACTTTGAATTCATCTTGATACTGTAGTATATTATGTACTTTAAACTGTGTCCTACATATCGACATACACAAATAAGCACATTTCACTTATATACATATAATTAGCTATCTTATGTTCCAATGAAACACAGTATGATTTACAACAGTCCCATCTAAAAACATTCTTAAAAGGCAAACAGATCATTAAAGAAATGGATCTTTGTGCAATGCTTGAACTGCTTCAACTAAACAGATTTCAAATCAGCATCACTAAAAGTTTCATGACAGACGATTATACTATCCATACTGTCCATAAAGGGACATTAATACTAACACAGCATAAATCTGCTATGTAAGCAAATAAACCATATTAGTATAAGGCACTGTTATCACATTGTAATTGCACCCACACTATGGGTTGTTCCAACCAAATTATTCTAGTAAAAAGCTGAAATACTTAAATCCCCTTAGCACATTAGTCTGCAGACATTAAAGACCTAAGAACAGGCCCCAAACTATTGATTGTCACAAGAATTCATATATTTCCTTGAGTCAGATCTCTGCTCCAGATTTAGGATGTCGAAACTCCTCACAGCAGGGAGCAAATTCACTTAATGTACATTGATAGCTTCTACAAAGGCATAGTGATTTTGTTTTTTACTTTCTCTGAAAGTACAACCACCATTACCTTGCTCCTCAGCATCATAGACCCAGTGTGCTATGCGTATCCTATCAAAACCATTTTAATTTTTACCTCCCCTTTTATGCTCATTTATAGACCCAATCTTCTTTTTTGCTACATGGATCTTGTCTACAGCAGAACTAGAAGAAAATACAATAATGTAAGTGAAATTACATGACAGCATATTGGTAGTGACCTACAGATGAAAATTAGTACCTGCCTTTGCAGCATGGAAGTAACTGTTGATGTTTAATATATAGGAAGATTTATGCTATGCTTATTTAAGTCTAAAATGTGATCACAGGTAGATTTAACAAAAACTTTGGTTCCTCTGCAAAAGTGAGCAATACAAAACATTATTTCATAAATACTGGAAAAAATGGTGGCAAATGACACAGAATCAGAAGTATAGTTTAAAATTATAACCTTTGAAAAATGAATGGAATTAGATATTGTTGAAAAGATATCACAAATATAACTTAGGAAACATTCAGCAACATTAGATTAAAGAAGAGAAAATGAGTATACAAAGCACAATACTCATTCGCCTGGCAAATCAGGTAAATTTAGCTTTGATTAACATCCTTGAATTTAACAGTTTTAGAACCTTATGTTTTTATCTTGCCTTTATACAAAGATCCAACTCATGCTTGCTTCCCTTCAATGGTTTAAAAAAAAAAAAAAAAAAAGCAAAGGCCATCTATCACATAATACAGATCTTCAAAGAAGTATAAAGTTTAATATGACAATGTCTCTACTATGAACTTACTCTTCCACAGTCCTTCCAGTGAAAAAGTGAAAAAACTTTTCACAAATATGGCATACACCATTTTGATTTTTTTTTAAAATGAGCAACACTTTCATGAAAAAGTAGAAAAATGGACTCCAGTTCAATCAACGTAATTTTATTCATACATACATTTTCCAAGATTATTAATGCAAAGTAAGTACCAGTAGTGCAGAAAACTGATAGAAGCAAAATTTGAAACATGCATTTAAACATGTTAGATACTGATTGCCATTTTCCTCCCTTAAAACAAATTGTACCCCTTATCCTAAGGACTTAAATAAAACTCCATGAAGAGCATATAAACATTATCAGCACATAAGCAACTAGATGCAAAAACTTGTAATAGTGAAAAGTGTGAGGAAGTTCTTATTCAGTACTGTGCAGAGGATATGTGAAAGGACTTTGGGTAAGAGCTGAAAAAACAGACATCCCCTTGTTTGTTACACAGCCGTACAGGTTCAGGGCAGTTGGTGTATCTCACCGCCATTTTACTCAGGTGAGACAGACAACTGACAATAGGCATTTTTTCTCAAAACAATAAATTCACCCTGTGCCACATGCTCTAGGTGTCCCTGCTTGAGTAGGGGGGTTAGACTAGATGATCTCTAGAGGTCCCTTCCAACCTTAACCATTCTGTGATTCTGCAAAAATTGCAAAGTAAAGTTTCATTTTGCAAAAATGCAAAGTAAAGTACATTTGCATAAAACATTTACAGTAATTAATCAACTCTTCTTTAGTTTGCATTAAGCACTTTTAGTACAACTTGACTGTTAACATTTAAAAATCATATGTGGTTTTTGTAATCTGAAACAGGTAGAATGCAGCATAGTTCTTATAAACTATTCTTGCAAATATTACTGATGACATTAACGTTTTACACAGAATACCACAATGCCCTATCCTTCCCAGCTATGGAACTGTCAAATTCCTCAGTTTCTGTCTAAAGTTCATTCATAGCGTAACTGTTTTCTCTTTGGGTCTTCATATGCACAAGTTGCACAAAGTTGAGTAACTACGCACAAAAGCATCTGGCTGGCTCCAGAGGGGATGGGAAGGGGGCGGGGGGAGTCAGTCTGACATATCAAACACACATCAAGAACAATCTAAGTTAAATTAGCACTAGTACAGAGTTCCTGACCCATTTGGTGGCCTTTTCGACAAGCTGCACTCTTGCTATGGCTAACATTACCATTCATGGCAATATGATAAAGGTATCTCTCCGTGGGTGAATCCTAGCCTGACAGATAAAGAATCCTATGCTACCACAACAGAGTTTCTCGAATACCATCCCTTCTTACCTCTTTGTAGTCCTTCTCATCACCAAAGGTGCAGTGTGATACTCACACCTTTACCTGGTTAGTACATCCTGGCTCAACTTTCCTAGCTCGCACATCCTTCAGTACCTATTTTCCAGCCACCCTGCTTTTCCACCTAGTTTCTGTCTATACTTGATTAGTTCCAGTTGTATTAGTATACTAACATTGGTACATTTCTTCTTGCCATAAGTTGCTCTATCCCAAGACATTTCTTCAGCCATTTTCATGTTCTCATTACTTTATTTTTCTACCTCATCTCTCCTGAATCTAGAGGGATTAACGTAAGCGTCTTTCCCAAACTTTTCATTATCTCCTAACTCAAAAACGCAATTAGTCATTTCGCCTGCTCTCACAGGCTACTATTTCTGCTGAGCAAATAGACCTATTTGAACTGAGTTCTCTTTCAAGGAAGATTCCACGTAGTCAGATATCTCAAATCATCCTAATAATATATATCTTGAGAATCCTATATTCTTCCTTATTTTCACAAAGACCAGAATAATTCACTAGAGTTTACTTCAGCCTCAGTTTCTTTAAACATCTTTCCTAGTTAGCTTTGTGAATTTATCCTTAAACATGTTGGCAGAATTGATAAATTATCATTTATCCTGACACCAGGGACTATCAATGCCAATATCATCAAGTTTTTTACCTTTACACCCCAGATTCTGGCAAACTACATGTACCTATTTCTGGATCTACTCGCATGAATGGCCTATTCATTCTTAACTAGAGGTTCACAATCTCTTAGATGTCTTATGTTTTTATAGGACTGTCTGGTCATCTCTCATTCTTTCTTCTGTTTTACATCATTAAGTCTTCTATCCCTTTCCCAGTCTTTTGTATGATACCTCTTCTGTGCTATGATGGGAAGCAAAGTGCATCTGTGAATTATACTGACTGCTCCAAGATCTTCCTCCATCATCTTGTTTGGCATGCACCTGCTCTTTTCTTTCTTCCATCACATCTTAAATTCTCCCTAAACTCTCCTCGAGAAGGACAACATCTTCAAATTTTCTCTATTATTTCTAATGAGTCATACTATATGCAGGAATACATTCCCCATGTATGCAGTTACTGTAACACACATTTCATTTCTGTATCATACCTCAATGCTACAATTGCTTCACCTTCTCTACTTGTTTCTACATTTCTGGAGAAAAAAAAAAAAAGGTGAAAGCCTCTGGCCAGCTTGTCCATTTCCTCCTCTTTGCTTGTTTATTTTTTAACCTTCTCCCTAGGTCATCTTTCTCCCCTCACATAAAAGCCACGGGGTTCTGTTACCTGTGCTCTATGTCAGGTAGCACTCCTTCTGGCCAATGTGCATCAAGCAGTATTGTATTTCAAACTTTAAGTTCTTTATAGGAAGTGATTTCTAAAGGCATGTGTAGCATAAATACTGCACTTAGGCCTGAGACACAATGGCCAAACAGCCTATTAGCTACCAGTACTTTTTGCTAAAAACAGTCATTTTTAAGAATGATTTCAAAATATGTCTTCTTAGCATAAACACACACTAAGAGATCATCATCTGAGTGCACTACTTGAGCAGGGAACAAACAAACAAGAAGACTCTGGACTGATAAATTAAGAATTTTAATATTTTTACATACTTTTATAGATTTCAGTGACATACCCAGAATGTTATCTGCTGGTTGTATTAAACTGTGCATAATACTCTGCTGTTGGAACATTTGAATATTCTTCTTCTTTAAGACGTATGTTCCTAGCAATAAATGAAAAACGCATTTTGTAAGTATTTTAACTTCATCATTACTAAAAGATTTGAGAAACCTAAAGAAGATGCAATGCATAAATACTGATAATTATTCAGAATATTAGAAATGGAATAAAATCACGACATCTCAAAAAAATGAAACACTGCCATGTCTCACTAGAGCATAGTAATTCTTTTTTTCTTCCTAAAATAAAGCACAATTCAGAATGTTTGCTTTTGGAGTAGGAAAGCATCAGGTATTGGGAATTCTTTTGAAGAAACGTATGCGGATGCACACACTGGTGGGGGAAGGTGGGAGAAAAAAAAACTGGATGGGAATCTGGATGGCTCCAACAGTGTATCACTTGGTCTGACTCCCTCATGCCACAGCATGTTCCTTTCAACACTATCTTTCCACTTTCTCAGCATGGCAGACACAGGACCTATTCACCAAGACCCATCCAGTGGTGAACTAAAGAAGCATCAAGTTTTGCCATGCACTATGGAAAAGCTCTGTTTGTACCATTACTTTAACCCTGAGCTGCTAGATATTGGAAATTATACTGAGCTCAGTAGATACCCATCCTATTTTATTCCATAAATCTGAGGTAAAACATTGTTTTGCACCTGATAATATAGTTTTCTGTACAGTTAATTATGTTTATTCTCTATCCACATAAACTTAATAGTCTGTTCTAAATGGATTACATTTAAGTAGTTTGGCTACTATGCCCTATCCGTAAGTTAAGAACAGTCATAACCTACTTCATGTACACTTATCTTTTTAACAGTACTGCAAAATACACACTTAAGCTGAATTGTTGTGTTTTTTTTCTTTTTTAAGAGCTTAAACTACTAATAGGTTTATTAGAAAATAAAAACTCAATACAAGTAAGTTTTCAGAAAACTCATCTGTTATCTCAATGGCAAAGAATTGAAAAGAAGGCAGTTATCTTCCTGTACTTACTTTGATTTCTGCTCCTGAGACAGCTCTGCATTGACGCTATCTACAGCTCGGCGCCACTCTTGATTCTCTCGTTGCTGCTGTCGCTCTAAAAGCAACTGTGCTCTGGCAGCCTGCGCACGTTGCCTGTCCCACTCGGCATTTCTTTGGTGTTCTTCCTCTTTTAGTCTCTATGGGAATTAAAGAAGTGCTTCATTTTCTCTTTGTTCGAAGACAAAATAAATCAAAAATTAGTAAATCAGTAAATTCATCAACACTGCTTGCTTACCTTTTCTGAACGCTAGGGAGAGACACCCATGTCTTACGCTAAAGAGAGAAGCTACAGATTAGGAAGCTACCCTTTACCAGGAAGCAGGAGAGACTCCTACCTCTGCACAAAGAAAGAAATCTAGGATTAGCTCTCTGGCAGAAGGCACTAAGGGGCAAGATTAATTTTTAGGAACTTAGTAGCAGGATTTGAGACTTCTTGAGTTCAAAGTTAGCAGGAGCATGTGTGGCTAGTGTGGCTTACAATATGGCCAAGTCAGCTTACCAACTAAGCCACCAACATCAGGTAAGCAAATGAGGTAAGTAGCTTCCTACTTCCCAGTGCCTATACGCTGATGACTGCGTAGGAAGAGTAGTGTTCTTCACTTCTATTGCTTGCCTCTAGCCACTCTTACAGCAGCAATTACCGATAAAGTTTATTTTTTCCATCTCAGAACACACTTCATAGTTGTGGGAAATGGCAGAAAGAAAATCTCATTGCATTCAGGAACATTCAAGAGTCTCAAATATGCAGTTAGACGCTGATAAACACAAATCAACTGAAATCTCCCACCAGCATTAATAGCTTGCCCTATCCAAAGGGATTTTTTTTTTTTTTTTTTAAAAAAAAGGCAAAAGGCACATGCCTGAAATGAAGGTCACCTTACCACTAAATATCATCAACCCTCCCTCCCAACCCAACTTCAGGGGTCCAGCTGCTCTCTGACACTTCTTTAAATCCAAACAATTAGAGCTTGGGCAAAATTAAGAATAATGGAAAGCACAAAGTGGCATACGCAAGATAATCTTAAAAATATGTTCTTCTACAAATATATCTGTAATACTATTAAAACCAAGAGTGGAAAAGATGCACATAAGCTTAAATACCTGTTTCTCTAGGATTTGTTGCTGTTGAGAGTTACGGATTGCCATCAGCTGATCCCGACTCATTCCCTTCCATCGATCTGTCATTACACGATGGCTACCAAAGGAACTAGCTGCTTGCTCTGGGTTTTCACAGAGTAAGTCACCTTGAAGAAGGCTGGAAATTTCAGCCATGTCATCTTTCATTGTTTGATACTTTTCTAGCTTTTTTCTCTCAGCCAGTTCAGCAGCCTAAAAGTCGGTAAAAGAAGAGAACTAGTAGTGTGTCTAAGAGAAAATATTAACTAAAAAGAAATGGAAGAACAGTTAGCATATTTTAATACATTTCTTTCCAAGTTGCATACAGTTGTCAGCGGTATCACATATGATTACTATGGTCATGACCTTGCGGTTTAAGGAGGCTGAAAAAACAGAACCTTTTTCTTTAATGTTGTCATACCATAGAGAGGCAGTAATTTGGGGAAATAACTTTGTTTTGTAAAAAAAGACAGAATTACATAAGAATAATTTCACATGAGCACACAACATTAAACCCATTCCCTTTGCCCATGCATAATATAAGCTTGCATTATTATTTCTAACACTACAGATATATTCACATAATATGCATTTCCTGCCCAAATCACTGTTCCTAATGCTCGAAACAAGATCATAATTCCTTATTCCAATAGATTTTTCTTCTTCTTCACAGAAGAATCTTATGTGGCATATAGAGGTAAGTGGAAAATGAATAAACAATAATTAGAACATATAAGTAGCTCTGAGAATGACAAACTATTTACACACAAATAGAGTTAACATGTTGCTTTGCAATTACTACCCAGCTGAAAAATTCTAACTCAGCAAGCACAGTGATCTACACCACACACCACTGGAGGAGACTGCACACTTGGCTTCATCTCTAGGTTCGTATTTATGGATTTTGAATTTGAATGATAGCAGTTCTCCTAAGCATTGTGTCTGTAAACTATCAAAAAGCAACGTTTATTTTCTTTGGTCAGATACGGACAATGACCTACTAGAGGTCTGAGAGGAGAAGAAATAACAAATGATACTTAGTACCATATCGTAGATTAATAAACACCATGGCTGAAAGAGCTTAGCCATGGTGGTTTCCATCAAAATAGCAAGAGCAGCTGGAATGCAAACAAACTAATAAAAGATATATATCTCAATAATTCATTTTTGAGTGTGCAGTGATAAACAGTTTAACTTAGATAATGACAAAGATCCATTTAAAATATACCCTAACATATACCCCAGCTGTTAAATAAGACCATGCACTCTTGTGGAATAAGAAAAATAAAATCTCTGCTTTTAGAGAAATGAAAATAAAACAAGCATATTCAGATTCAAGTGGCAAAAGATCAAATTCAGACCTAGCAGTTATAAACCATACTATCATAACATGGAATAATTCTTTGAAAACAAAAGGTAACCTTTTAATTTCAGTAAAGTCAATCGGTCACTTCTTAACAGAGATTTAATTTTTTATTTTTTTCCCAAAATGCATTTCTGAAGTATTCCTTTTTTTTTTTCTCTCTCTCTAAAAGAGTCAACAATAATTTATTAGAGCAACTAACAGATTACAGTTGGGGAGGGGTGTTTCGGGGAAGATAATGTGGATACCCAGAACCCCAAGGATTTTCAATCTTGTGATCTTTCGGACAGTGAACTGAAGTATTTCGATGTGTACTTTTGGCTTGACTATTTATTCAGCAAGTATTTTAGCTCTGGAAATGTCTCTAAGTAAATTTTATTTTACAGAAAGTTGTTTTGCACGAACCTTGAATTTTATCAGTAATTACTGGACTATGGTAATGAGTTATTGAAGCTTGAAGTATGTACTTCACTTTAAAGGTCACTTTACAATGATCTAGCAACAGATCTTTAGAGTTTGTAGTTCTGCCATTCCGAGTATGATAAGCCCCAAGTTCCAGAGGTGATTTAGAACCTTACTTGAGGAAACCATGGCTCTGCATATAGCCGTGTACATAACCCTGCTAAATAATGATAAATGACTATATGAAAGACAGAGATTAAACAGAGTAAATCTGATGTACTTTCCAAACCAAATCCCCAATTGAAAAAGAAAGAAAAAAAAATAGCATAAAATGGATAAAGCAGATGCACAAATATATTCTTCTGAATTTATTTTAATCTTCCCTAGCACTAAATGCATCATTTTCGATTGATGTACAAATCATAAAGCCAAAGAAGAAAGCAGATAGCAGAAAGGCAGGAATTAGAGATTCTAAAAAAAAAAAAAATCCTCCCTTTCCTTGAAAACATGTCGGAAAATTCCAGTCCTGTGCTATATAAAGCAAGACGGCTCTGTCTTTCTGATTTCAGAAACAAAAATTGGCATATTTGGTCCACTTTAAGAATAAATTGGAGATTCACAAATATTAGTGTCCTTCGAAAAGGATGATGTTCGTAGGAATAGTTGCTAGTTTAAGCTAATAGTCAAAATCTTCTGTTATAAGCACTATAGCAATACTTCTCTTCCTGGCTAACACATTCTTGAATGAGAGAGTTCCCATTCTTGAATGAGAACACTCATATGCACTTAAAATCCTTCACTACTGCAAAAGATGGCATCAAACATATCAGTTAATTTTCACGCTCATTAATTCCAGAAAAACAAAGAGAACAATCAGAAATAAGCTTGTCAGCAAGCAAATTCCTGGCAATGGTATTATTGCACCTGGAAACAGTCAAGCTACCGTCATAGGGGGTGGCAACATCAAATCCTCCAATGAATGCAGCACTGGACAGAAATACATTTTCAGCCATTTGCTAGGAGCCACTACTTACAAATATTCAGTTTTTTTGTTTGTTTTGTTTTTTAAACACCTAAAGATAGAGGCAACCTTAATAAGCCAAACTTAAATTGTCTTATTATGTGACTGAATCAGCTTAAAGCAGATTCAAGCCATATAGTTTAACCAAACTAACAGGGCTCACACAGCTCATGTAACTTTTCCTGTACTCCAGTGGAAATTCTTTAAACAAGGATAAGTCTGCGTGTTGACAATTCCTTAGAGGCTCTCGCTTGAGAGCATAATTCTACTTGAAGAACATAGTGAGCCAGAGTTTTTACCATATTACTGAAAAAAAAATTGCAAATACAGACCAATGTTAAATAACAAAAGACTAAGCTGATCCAGGGAGAAAAAAAAAAAGAAAAAAAAAAGTGTACCATACCAGTAAGACAAAGTACTGAAGCCTGTCAGATAATGATACCAAGGCAAATACTAAAACATGACACAAGCCTATTCTTCAAGTTCCAAGGCATGTTCAACAAACAAGGGAAACAAATATCAAGAAAAGAGTCAAAATGCCCAAAACAGTGGAGTTAGGTCATTAAGCTAAGCAATACAGACAAAGTTACTGATAGTAGTATTTCCACACTGCCAAAAAGATAAACAAGCAGAGTACTAAGGTCATTAGATAATAGATATAAAACCAGAAAGAAGCTTGAGGGGCTTCTGCTCTACCTGAAATTACAGATCGGAAATTTTAGGAGTTTGGGGAGGTCTGACTGCCTTTTAGTTAGCAGGCTAAAGTCTTGGACTGAAAATTTTGGCAGAGAATAACTAGATTCTGGTAGAAGACAAAGTGAACAAATAGTATTTCCCAATTTTTGAAACAAGCATGGAACTCAGCTGCTAAGAAACCTTTGCTGCAATATCATTATTCATTGCACGTTTATTTATTGTTCCCTTATTTTCCTTCTCATGCTTTTTTCTTCCAAAAAAAAAAAAAACTTAATTTACCTGAGCTCTATTAAAATCTTTAGTAGCTGCACAAATAGCACGTCTCGTTTCTTCATCTGCTCTTTGTAGTTCCATAGCCTTGCGGTCAAGTTCAAGCCTATCCTTGTCATAGAGATCATCTAAATTAGATTAAAATTATAGTTAGTTAATATTCATGAACATGATGTGCTATATGCATATGCCACTGTTTTAAAAAAACAGTGAAGCTACAAGTATTCTAATCCGAATTATATAACTATTCCCATATCCCATCACTGAAGATTTACATTTTAAAATTTCAGAAAACTCAAGAAATTAGTCTATTATGTACCCCATCTTGTTAGATGGGTCCACTTAGAACAAAAGAGAAAACTCTACGTTAAGTATTGTTTCTAAAAAAAAAAAAAAACTTCTTCAAGATGGAAAAAAAAATCCAATTATTTTTGTATGCTCTAGAATACGTGAAATTGGAAAACTTGGCTTGATGAAGTAACTCCTTTAACATGAAAAATATCGATATTTTTCAAGATGTCCTGACTTTCGTTTGAGCTGTGTAACAAAAAAATAGTACAGGTAATAATACAGTTATATCTTTATTTAATACCATGTGATATTAACTGAGATATATTAAAGGCTACAATGCAAAAACTGCTACAGTATTCCTAAAGGCTGCAATACTGAAAGTACTAAAACATTCCTGTGCTGCAATCTGATGCATTAGAGCATACTTTTGTCAGATAAATCAGAATTTCAAAACAGCGGCTAGAAACATCCTTTTGTCTTCTTCAGTTACCTGATCTTTTTTTATCAGCTAATGCATTCCTTGAGTCCCTCTGTTGCTGAAGAGACCATTCCCTTAATTGCTCTTTTTGAAATATCATCCTCTGAGCATAGTTTAAATCTTCACCCATAAACTTCTGCAAGCCAGATATACTACATCGAGGATCGCTGTCTGAAAGTCGAGCAGGAGTTTCCTTCTTCAGGGCTTGGGGATCAGACAGGTCGAATTCACGTCTTGTTTCTGGCTTCTGAAAATTCTTCCGAAATTCACCAATAGCCTTATTTATATTTCGGATATCATTTTTTTGCTGTTCTTCTAATAAACACATGATCTTGTCATTCTGCTTCATTTCATTGGCTAGAGAAAAAAAAATATGGACAGAGTGAAGCTACAGGTCTCAGAAGGGCATGACTATCATGCGACATGGAAGAAAACAAAAAAAGTTTTAAAGGGAAGTCACTTCTTCAACCTTTAGATCTTAGGAAAATATTTGATCTATAAAAACAAATCTCATGTTAGTTATATGCAACTATAAAATTATTTGTTTTTTCTGAATCAATTATCTTGTTAATTATCTTGTTACGATACAATGACATGTGAGTGAAGACCAATTTCTAGAATTATGAGAGTTCATTAAAAAAAAAGTCTTAACCAAAATTCATTAAGTTGTCTATTCAGAAACAAAAATATACGGCTCTCAGATGGATGGGATATAGGTAACTGTTTCACAGTTTAAATTATTTTTTACCTCTCTAAAAGGAAAACTTAGTTTAATGCTAGAAGTTTTCGAAGAGCTTAAGACCTCTTAATCAAAATGTTGTAATTGATTTAGTAGAGAAAGCATAAAATCTAGACATTTAAATATAATTTACAAGATTTTTTTTTTGCCAGATTGCACATCACTTCTGTCAGTTTCCTAAAAGATAGATTCTGTCAGGTATTCTGCCAAGAAAATCACAAGGAGCAGGAGCTCAACACAGAAATCGGCAGCTACATTTGAGTTGTCTTGAAACGCACAGAGAGCTTTGTGCACAGGCCCTTTTCAAATGATCCCACAGAAGTGTTCCAAGCACAGGGGCCTCATGGGGTTTGGAGGTCAGGGAACGTGGTTGAAATACTTGTATGAGTTTGTGCTCTGACTCAGCAACAGCTCTTACAGTCATGAGTCATGTTTCTAGCAGAAATAATCTACAGAGAAGACCTCACTGAGGAACAGCCAGTGGGAAGACAGCCTAATTCAGCATGAAAGCAGGTAACAACTTTGCCCTATTCAAAAAGGAACAGTATTGATTAAGTCCATCTTTTTTTTTTCCCCTCCCTCCTTTAGTCCATATCTTCAGATCCCTCAAACAATGCTATTTATCACTCTTTATTAGAAGAAAACACTGCGAAACCTCTGGCCTTTCCATTAGGAAATGTCTACCGCTTAAATCACAGCAATATAAATCCAATGATGTGAATCCATATTTCAGATGCAGTAAGATGTAAACAGGTACTGCATCAAAGCAAAAACATTGACATACATAGGACTGAATATATTAAGATTCAGCTTGCACGTCCCAATTTAGAGAAAGGCCTACAACTGTGCTATTATGTATATGGCAAGATTCAAGGAAATAAGCTCCATTTCGAAATAAATACGACAGTTTGAAAGATAGCAAGGGGCGGGGGGAAGAAAAATGGTAAACCTGTTCATATATAACTGTATATAGATACATGACATTGACTTTTGAAAATACCAAGTTTTTCATTTTGCGCTTTTTCTGTTGCTTCTTGAATTTTCTTCTCTTTGATCTGGGCATCCAAAGCATCTTTATCAATCTATTAAAATGAAAAAGGAATCTCTGTAAGAGATACTATATGTAAGCATTAAAAACAGGCATTGCTAAACTTCATTGGTAATAGTCTTGTGTGGCAGATACAAAGCCCCTACCAAAAGAATACACATGTACACATCGCTACTTGCTGTAAGTAATATACAAAGCTAAAAATCCCCTCAAAGCAGTATTTTTGTTTGTTCACCTCATTTTGACTATAACTGGTGTATTTTTTGTGCCAAATCAGAACAAAATATATTTACATTATATTTGAAGTTGCACTATACAGAATACATTTTCCCTGTTATATCTGGCATTTCTGCTTAGTTTCTTGCTTTTCTGCTTTCAGTTGATGTTTCAGATCATCAAAATTACAGTAAGTTACAATAATGAACATATGGAAAAAAAAAGTTGGTTCACTAAATGACAATTGGAGGAATAAGGCTGTATAGAAAGAAAGTTTCAATGAAATTATGGGAAATGGTATTAAGAGATTTTTTTATGTCTCCATTAATAGATTTTGGGAATAAGACAGACAATTAAATACAGTAATATGTTCAAGTTCAGCGACATTATCAGCTCTCTCCAATTGTTCTTTCTTAACTCTCAGTAAATGGGAATGCAGCTGTAAAAGAAGCATTCCTCACCACACAAAGCCCCAGATTTAACTTGAGCACTTAGCCATACCTTGCCTAGGACTAGCTGAAACATTAGTGATCTTAAGACTTAATGAGAAATGCTACTGGCATCAAAACAATGAATCTCTTCCTACAAACATTTAAAGCAGTTGACTAATCACTAGTTACTTTTCTTTATGTATAATAACTTGTATACAAATGAAGTGCTACTTTTCATTTTCATTCACACTATCCACCTAAACTCTTTGGGGAAATTATTGATTTTAGTGAGAATTAATGTTTAAGCCTGCATATGAAAGGAGCTCTGTCTTGGATTATTTCTTCATTCCTCAGATGAGGAAATAGCTACAGAAGTCAAGCGAAGCAGTCATAAAAAGAATAAAGCCTCCCAGTTCACAGTGCTTTCCAGGCAGTATACTATCTCCATGTTTTTAAACTACTCAAACACTACTGAAGAATCTTTGTGCTTTTATAATGCATGATTTTTGAATTGTGTCAGTGACAAGCACTCAACTAAATTGAAAACAAACAACTCAAACCACAAGCAAACTCCCTACCCCACAGTGGGAGAGGAGGGGAGAGGAGGGGAGAGGAGGGGAGTTCTAAAAGCACATGTGAAATAAAGATATAGTCTATCTTTGTTTTGATTTCTTGACTCTACATGCTCTAGACTTGGCTTAATTTCAAAGCACATGATATCCCTTCTGTCAGCAGTCACTGTTCAGATGAAAAATACAGTTTATTTAACATTTTAATCAAAATATTTATAAAATTTCTCCACCAAACTCTCCTTCTTTTGAAATGTTTGTATCATGTGAATGGATCCATTAAAACCTATCTAAGAAGCTACCTCTACAAAAGTACTTGGGAATTATTTTCATATGGTGTATTATAGTATTGGTCAATAAAGCACAGAATTTATACTTTGCATTTAATTTTTGAGGCTCTAGGAAAAGTATTTTATAGAGAAACTGTGTGTCCTGACGATAAAGTTGAACTGCCTTATTATGCCCATCCCACACCTGCTAGGAGATGGCTCCTTCCATCTAGGCACACTGTGCAAGCCTTTCACATGTGCTAGGATGCTGTAGCATGTAGATAACCTGTCCAGTTCACGAATCAAGAACTCCTACTTTGCTCTGCAATTAAGATGGCTGTTGCATAAACCAGAGGAACAAATCTAAGGCTCTTGTACATGGATATCCTTCCACTGGCATATTGAGACTTGTTGCAATACCTCCCATAAGATGGAGCAAACCCATGTCTGTTGCAGTTCTACCAGTCCAATGAAGTCAACAGGCTGGACTTATTTTCACAGATTCTGAATTTGGTCCTTCTCAATAACCATGCACACACTAACACCACATTCATACATGATGTTTACGCACATTCGTTTTATATTCATAAAAGTGGCCTGAACGAGCTTGCCAGACTTTGCCTAATACAGAACACGGTGCAGCTGCAGGACCGCTTCTAGCGACAGGTCTCTTGCAGCAGCCATCCCACACTCTAGCGAGGCTCAAACAGTTCAAAGACTTTAAAATATACATATATATGTGTAGACACATTTATTGTATCATCTACTGTTTTATTCATCACTGTGTTTACTGAGTCTGCAAGCTTCTGCCTTATACTGAAGTAAAACACACTCCCTGAAGTTAACTCCTATATCCATGCTGAACCACGGCGCTTGGTGGTCTTCTCCTTTTAAGGAGAAATCACACCTGGCCCTTGAGCAGCAATCCAGCCCAAATCCCCCTCAAGCTCCCCTACTCTTGGGAACATTGATGAGCTTCCACCTGCCGCCCTTCAGAATGGCAGCCCTTTCCGCAGCGCCTCCAGCCCGAGGCTCCGACGGCGCCTCACCCCAATGGTCCGCCGGCGCACGTCAAAGATGCGGCTCTGCCGCTGCAGCTCCCGCTAACGGCCGCGCCGCAACACACGGGTCGCCCTGGCGACGGCGCCCCGCCCCCGGCCTCCCGCCGGCCAATCGCGCGAGGCCGCGTGCCGTGGGGTTGAGGGGGAGCAGTTGGCGAGGCGCGGCCGTTGGATTGCGCGCTTGCGTTCCGCGGAGCAAATAAATACGCAAATCAAAACTAAAACAATTAAAAAGAGAGAGAGAAAGAACGTAAAGGAAAGTCTACTTTGGTTGTTTAGGTCTCATGCAGGTGGGAAGTTAGAAGGTGGCTAGCGGCCTGGGCTGCACTCCCCTGCCGCTGCAGGGATGGGTTACCTCAAGCTTCTGGAGATGCAGGATTTCAAGTCGTGGCGGGGGCTGCAGGTTATCGGCCCCTTCATGAGGTTCAACTGCATCATCGGGCCCAATGGATCAGGTAGTGGGGCTGAGGAGACCGGGAGGGAAACAGCTGCAGGTGCTGTTTCATATAACTGCCAAGATGGAAGTTTCTGGTGGCTCTGCTGCTCTCTGTCTCATCTCTTTTTGTTGTTTTTTTCTTTCTTTCTTTCTCCTCTGTGAGAAACCACGACGAGGAGGCAGTTAGCTTCACTGAGGGAGACCATAGGCTCTGGTGGGACTGTTTAAAATGAGTTCATAGACCCCATGTTGATGGCAGCACAAGCAAAATTTTGGGTGCTCCTGATTTGACCTTCTTCATACCTTCTTTACTTAAAGGATTGGATTTTCCAACCCAGAGAACTGAAGTGGTGTGGCTGAAGAAATTTCCGTTCCAGTCTGTGCCCTTTATTTTCCTGTCCTGTAGAATGAGCGGTTTGAAAGCCAATCACCACTTTTTGGCCACCCCAATTTATAGCTCAGCTTATTAAGGTTACATAAAGATGGTATCGCTTTAATATACTTGGTTGTAGACTGTAGTAGTTAGTGGAAAGCTGCTACTTCAGGGAATGTGTAGTCCTTGCTTTAAAAGTAAATGCCTGGAGGGGAAATGAAGCAGCCTTGGAATGGCAACTGCTTTGGATGTTGTAGTTTAGGCTGCAAAAGCCTTTACTTGTAGATGTGACTCAGCATTGCCATGCTCGGGGTCCTGGAAACTTTATTAAAAATTGATTCAATTCCAATGAAGGTTTTCATGAGCAAATACAATTGCCAGAGAAAAATGGGGTAGGAGCTGGGGGCTCCCCAAGGAAAAGCTTTGAGGATGAGCTTAAATTTTGAGCTTAGTTAAACAATCTCTTAATGATTTAGATCTTGCTGTTTCTTCACTTATTTTATGTACACGTAAAATGTGTGTATTCATACAGCGTAATAACCTCTAGCAATCCTGTGTGAAATTGGATCTACCATGCTGATTTGGGGTTTTAACAACAAATCAGTTTTGTGATTATTTTTATTATAGAAAAACTGATTGCTTTATAGTTTAGAAATTCATTTCTTTACAGTGCGAAATATTGTTCCCTGAATGGAGTATGGAATGGAATAATGGAATAATAAAGACTCTCCCAGTTAAATATGTGTTTCTTTAATTGTTAATGGAATTCCTTACTTCATTTTTGCTATGACAAAACAACTTTCTTTTTCCCTTTTCTTTTAGGCAAATCTAACATAATGGATGCTGTTAGTTTTGTGTTGTGTGAAAAGATAACTAACTTGCGAGTTAAAAATGTTCGAGAACTTATTCATGGAGCACATGTTGGAAAACCAGTTTCTTCTACAGCAAGTGTAAAAATAGTGTATTGTGAAGAAAATGGGGAAGAAAAATCATTTTCAAGAGTTATTCGTGGTAGGTGGTGGATCCTATCACAGATTTTTTTTCTGTGTCTGATGTGCAAAAAAATAGAGACTGAGAATATTTAGCTTTCAGTTTCAAAAGCACAATTTCTGTTGGTATTAGATGACTTAAGTCTGTTAGTCTTGAAATAATTTTTATAGATCTTAAACAATATTATGGGAGCCAAGTGTTTTAATTCAAAAAAGAAAACATACTACAGGCAAAGTTAAAAGTTAGCCAGATGATTAGTATGTTGTTTTGCTCTGTTTTTTTCACTGTTGAAATGAGTGGATAGTGTAGGCTCTGAAGATTGGAGTTTTCCTTTCTGAAGCATTTTTTTGCAGACACCAAAGCTGCTGCCGACATCTTTTGGAAATATGCAGCTAGACTTTTCTTGCAGAAAGATGAAACTGCTGAAACGATCATAGAATGCTTAAGGTTGGAAGGGACCTCTAGAGGTCATCTAGTCCAACCCCCCTGTACACACAGGGTCACCTAGAGCACGTCAAGGAAAAGTTTTTATTTTGGGAGGCAGAGTTGCTTTGTTGGGAACAGAATTTGTGACTTCTTTCCCGATGATCTTGTGTTACAGCTATGTGTTAACCTACACATCTAACAGCTTCCCACAGACTGCAGAGTCAGACCTGCTCTGGTGCAGACCAGAGGTATCATATGATGTGTGTTGTTCTAGGTTATGTGTATGCTGCCTAGTTAGCCAGTATGCAAACTGAAAAGGTAATTGTGGAATGTATATCAAAAGCTTGCTTGGTAGGAACACTGACTGGCATCTCTCTATACTACCAACTGCATATTTGTACAAAGGTTATAGAATTTAAATAATTATTTTTAGATTTTTTGTCAAACTTAATGGAAGCTGATCAGTTGGGTTCAAAAGTTACTAGAGGAAGTAAAGAATGGATGGACTAGTAGTGAAACACCACGAGCTAAGAAGTATATTGAAAATTCATATATTCATTTGAAAAACACTTTTTTTAAAAGTTATGTTGATCAGCTACTTAGTGCATTATTTCCAGTTTATAGTAATTGTGTTTTTTTTTTTTCTTTAGGTAGTTGTACAGAATTTTTTTTTAATGATAAATCTGTCAGCCGTTCTGCTTACATAGCTGAGCTTGAAAAAATAGGCATACTTGTCAAAGCCAGGAATTGTCTTATTTTTCAGGTGAGCATTAAAGATACTTGTTAAAGAATATTTAAAAATTTCTGAAATTATTTCATAGAAATGGCCAATTACTTGACTAAAATAATCTTAGCTACTTTCAAGCTAATAAGTGAAATTTTATCCTGACCTTGACTACAGCTATGCACTGAAATGGAAATTAAACAGTTTTGTGTGTGAGCACAAGAGCACTGGTAAGAAAGATACTAATCAGAAGAAGAAATTATGTTGTTTCTGTCCTTCAGTTTATATGATAATGTATTTTTATTTTTAAATGTTTTGTGGATTAATTTCTCTGGGTGTTAAAAGTAGAAATAGATGCTAGCTGCATCTCAAAACACCCTTATTCAATATACATAAAAATTTAACAAAAACGTTAAACAGCAGAGTGAGTTAGCAATTGACATTTCTGTTAGGCTATGATTTCAAAAGTATTTAGTTATACAAGTCAAAAAATGTCAGTGCTTACAATGAACATATTTCACAGAAATTAGCTTAAAATTCCCAAGGGAAAACTACTTTATTCTTTTTGTTGTAACTCTGTTCATGGATACTTGTTGAGGTAATACCTTTTATGATGAGGGCATTGGCCAGGAGAACAACAGTAGGAGCACAAAAATTGTTTCCTGCAGTCTACTGAATGTCTTCAGGTTAGTCCAAGGTTTGAGCAGGTAACACATGGACAGAACTTGTACTCCCATTAACTGCTGCGTTGTGGAATCCTCTAGTCCATTGATTTCAGCAGATACACTCCTGAAATACTGGGTTTTGTTGGTTTTATTTGCATCGAAAGTGAGTTTTAATTCCTTTAGAGGGACTAGTAAGATTTATTTTTGTCATTCTGATACTGCTTATTTAGATAGATTTCTGAGTTTGAAGATGTTGTCTATAGGTTAAGTCATTTTAAAATTTCAGATACTGACTATCATCACTTTAAAATAATTTTAATATTTAGATGTAGTGGATAGCTGGTATTCCTTTCATTACTGAAATTTTCTTGAGTTTTAACAGAATTTAAATACGTTTACTATAAAAATACTAGAAAATAACTGTTGCATGCACTTGAAAAAAAATACAGCATTGTACAACAGCATTGTACAATGACAATCTACAATGTTGTATTTTGGCAATTTTGTTTTAGGGAACAGTAGAGTCAATTGCAATGAAGAAACCGAAGGAAAGAACTCAGCTTCTTGAACGAATCAGTAATTCATGGGAACATGCTGAAGATTATGAGAGAAAAAAGAAAAAAATGCAACAAGCAGAAGAAGATGCACAATTCAATTATAACAAGAAAAAAAATATTGCGGCAGAACGCAAACAAGCAAAAATGGAGAAAGAAGAGGTAATTCCAGAGTTATTACTTCCTTTGTCTATTAGAGAGCGTGGATTTTATATCTTTTCTGTATTTTTAGGTAAGAGGCTTCTATCAAATGTCATCTGCTTTCTTCGACTTGTGTTTTTTATATGGTATAATCCCTAACTTTTTAAAATTATAGAGGAATGCATGCAATAAAAACAAAATAAATGACAGCATAATTAGTGTAAGGATTGACTTAAATGTCTGCATTTTTGTTGTTGTTTATAGATGCCAGTACATCAAGTTGTGTCACTTCAGACTTGAAATTATACTGTTAGTCATTAAATGCCCTTTTTTAAACTACCAATAACATTTTAATGTTGGTAGGCAGAGCATTACCAGATGCTTCTCAAGGAACTGAATGAAAAGAGGATACAGCTGCAGCTTTTCCAGCTTTATCACAATGAAAAAAGAATTGATTTTTTGAAAAAAAGTTTGGATGAAAAGAATAGGGAGGCAAGACTCAAGAAAGACTCCCTATCTAGAGCTGAAGATGCATTCAGAGCCAAGAAAAAAGTGCTTGGAGTACTAAACAGAGACCAGCAACACATAGAAAAAGACATGAAGTAAGTTTTCCCATAAGATTCATTGATACTTGACTGAAAACATAGTCTGCATTGGGGATTACTTGCTAAGGGTGCATTTCCTGATGTGCATTTCCTGATGAATGAAGCAAGTAAGTGAAATCCCAGTGCTATGGAAGTAAAAGTTCAGCCATTAAGTAATATCTAGATGTTTACTTTTTTTTTTTTCTTCCCAGAGGTTTCAGTAATTTTATTCTATATGTACTTGTCTATTATAATATTTTGCAGTGTTTTCCTTCTTTCTATTTTATTTATTTTTTAATTAATCACCTGTGGGTATGTAACTTTTTTTTTTTTTTTTTTAAGGACTCTGGAAGCATCTCTGATTCGGCAGAAGCCGCTCTACATAAAAGCAAAGGAAAACACTTCCTACCAAATTAAGAAAATAGAAATGTCTAAAAAATCTTTAAGGGACAAAGAGAAGTACTGTGATAAGGAAAAACAAAACATAAAAGAGCTGGAGATAGAATTGTCCGATATTGAGAAAGCATGGAGAGCATTTGAGAAGAAAACTGAAGAGGAGATGTTGCTGAGAGCAGCAGATGTTGAGCTGGAAGAAAGTCAGGTGAATCTGGAGGCCAAAAAAATGAAGTATTGTTTATTAGTGAAGTCTATGAAATCCACGCTCATGACAAAGGAACCAATTCACTAGTGATCTGTAATATCTAGTGTTTTCGTTGCTGTTTAGTTCATACAAAAACAGATTGTAGCTTTTATTTAGAGGCTTTGTTTTAATGGAATGAAGAGAAGTGGCGATCCAGCCTTTGAGGGGGCTGGTTGTATACTTCTTGTAAGGGGAAAAAAATTCTTAATCTCCTAGAAGCTCAAAATTTTGGACTTCAATATATTTGGAGATTTGGAAATTCTCTTGTGAGATTAGAAATAGCCATCTCTTTTAGTGTGAGTAGTGCATCTTTTTTTTTTTTTTCTGGGCAATATGTGAAGATTTATTAGAGGAAGCAGTGGATTTTTACCATAAAAGAAACTAAGAATTTCATTGAAACTTGGGAAGGGATGTACATAAAAATTGTACGTGCTATCATATAAGGTCTTTTGGCCCTCTCTGCTCTAGTGTAAGAATTTCAGAGCTTTAACCTCTTTTTCTTTTTCATTTGGGTTTAGATGGTGAAATAGGGGAAATAGAGTAAAAATTCAGTAGGGTGTTGGGGGATTTTGGAGGGTTTGTTTTTGAGAAGTGACTTGTGAGCTGAGGTAAAGAAATAAGTCTTTGCCTAAAAACAAACAATAAGTCAACAAAGTTGCAGCCAGTACTTCATTTTGTACATCACTTCTCTTGTTGTCAAAATTGAAATGGCTTAGTGATACTCTTGATTCACAGTTGGAGAAAAAAGGTCTTTGGAACTGGTTGCCCAGAAATCATTTTATTACCAAGTGCTAGCTTCTTTTCTCCACTGTTATCATGAAAATACTTTCTGATTGATTAATGGAGAACCTTTAAGGCAGCTCTACTTGTTACTGCTTACTTAGTATGAGATTCTTAATACTCTATGCTTCAGTGACATTTACTAAATTAGCATAATTTGAGGGGTTTGTTTAAGATTTTGTTTTATATGCTCACCTTAATTTTCTTCAATAACACAGAAATGTTGTATTCAAATAAAAATGCTGTCATTATAAAGGCCAAAGATGCACCATTTTGGAGTTATAGAGCAGCTCAGTGTTTACTTAGGTTTGATTTTTTTTTTTTTGCTTAGTTTACTTAGTTTTTACTTAGTGTTTATTGTGAAATATTGTAAATTGTAAAGCTTCCTCAAAAATAAGACTTAAAAGAAGTGTGAAACAGGACTGCGGACAGGAAGTCAGTCTTAATCAGTTTTGCGTTGAATACTTCCTTAATAAGATGTAATGGCTAATAGGTTCAGTAGCTATATATGTCTTGTGGGTAATTGGCTGTTTTCATAATCTTGGGTGTTTTCATAATCTTGATTTTTATAAGGAAGGTAATCATTAGTAGAAAACATACAAGATGAGTCTTCTTATATTCAATGGAGTGTGTTATGCATTTTTTTTCACACTATTCATTCAGTTGGAGCGCTACAAAGAGCTAAAGGAATTGGCACGAAAGAAAGTCGCTACATTGACCCAGCAGTTAGATAAACTTCGTTGGGAGCAGAAAGCAGATCAAGAAAGGATGACACTTCATCAGAGGAAGAAAAAAGAAATTGAGGTATTTGTATCAAGCTAGAGTTACGTTCTAGGTAGAAAACTAACATTTTTCTGTATCCTTCCTCTGGTATAAATGCTTATATAAAGGTATTAAATCCCATGTTTTGCTTGCATCAAAACATTTATGTTGCCAGATTCTGCAATTTTCATATAGCAACATGTTTAAGCAAAAGGATTTCTGAGTTTGTTCAGAAAATGGTTTTGTGTGCCCATATGGACAATTTATTTATGAAAAGTTGGAATCTGATATTTTACGGTTACTTGGAAAATATGCTTCAAATAAATTTTGCTTCCTTAACTTATAGGTTTTTTTCTGTCTGAAGTTTCCTACAGCTGTGGCGTATCTATATGCATCCAATATCTAAGGTTCATTTTGGACATAGCTCATTTTTGCTGAGATGTTTTTTTGGCTGACTCTGTGTATGTGTGTGTGTTTGAATAATGTCTCGGTGTCTTGTCTGCTAATGCATATCAGTGCAGTGTTTGTTTGTTTGTTTTGTTCTGAATACAGATCAATCTTGTCATTTCAGATGCTATTCAGTACCCACTATGAATTAATTAGGAGCTCTATATGGAGCTATAGAATTACTGTTATCCTCTGTTGTTTTTAATGCATTTTAATGTATTTGTGATTGTATAGGGAAGTATAAAACAGACTATGGAGCAGATAGAAGAGTATAAGAGACGAGCAGAGAAGTTGGAAGAGTATACCAAAATGTGCACGTATGTTTAAAAAATTAAAAGCTAATTGGATCCTTTGTATATCATATATTTTTAAATTAATGTAACTTTTTTAATTCTTTTGCTTTGATTTTGGTATTTTGACTACTTTAGCTGTCAAAGTGTAAAATGAAGATATACGACGACACATCCATATATTATTTGACACAGTTCTATGATTCCTTCTCATTTCTATGCAAATATAAGGATTATGTCACTGCAAACTAAGATTTAGGGCTATAATGTACAGATTCAGAGTCGGAGAATATAGTATTAGTGTATTGTGCTGCTCTCACAACCAGTTAGTATTTACATTGTTTGTTAGAAACTTAGCATAGTTCTGGCTCGTTGTCTCTTGCCTGACTTTGACTTGTTAAGAAATAGGCTGCACGAGCTTATGCTGAACTGTCTGATCTAACTTAGATTTTCTCCCTTTTTTGAGCAGGAGGTTGGAGGAGGTGATTTCCAGACATTTCTCCAACTTGTGTTTTTCTTAGCATCTGTAATGCACTTTGGCTTATGTTATCTGTGTACACAGCAAAGCTGTGTCTTGGACAGGGAGCAGGAAGCCAATTTTGACTGCTGTGATGCAAAATGATTTTAGTTAGTTGTAGTAATAGTAGAGCATGGGAGAGCTTCAGTGACTTGAATAATTGTGTGAAGTAGAGGAAAATTTTGCCTGAGGACTCACAGTTCTTTTCAGCTTTATGTCAGCAGACCTTTCCGTAATGAAGGATAAAGTAGTACTGTTCAGTATTACATGTAACCCTATGCTGTCACTTGAACTCTGTTTTGAAACCTTAGCATATGCTATATAAAATACAACTCTATGAGCAATTGCTATGGATGCAAAAAGGCTTTTGTTTTTTCATAGTCTGTGGCCATTTCATTTCTTTAATTTTGTAAACCAACAGCTTATATAAATAAAATCATTGCTTTCCTATTTTTGCTTTGAAGTGAGTTATTAGCAGAGAAAAAAGAGCAAGAGGAAATGCTATCAAAGGAAATTGAAAATTCAACAATACGAATGGCTGAAGTGAATGAAGAATTGAACAAAACAGTTAGTGAACTCCAGAATGCCAAAATTGATTACCATGAAGGAAGGCGTCAGCAAATGAAAGCAGAGATCCTGGAAAGCCTCAAAAGACTGTATCCGGATTCTGTGGTAATTGAATAGTCTCATTTATAAGCCTCACATTAAAGTTAGAATTTGAGAGTTCTGCTTAATATTTTGTAAACAGGTAAAGGAAATTGAAAGTATTTTAAACTTTAGGCCTGCTTCAGTGCTTGCATAAAGGAAATTGAGATGCTGTTTGTGTGTTACATGCATCTCCTCTGAAGTGTAAAAAAAAAAAAAAAAAAAAATTAAAAATTGAAGCTAAACATTTTTCATCTTTGCTGTTGATATATTTTGTAATTGTAAGGGGAACCCTATAATTTCAGGATGGCCAGTCAGAATTGATGGGAAATGTACACCTGAAATTAATTAGGGAATCTCACATAACTCAGATATGCACAGTAATAGGCTTAGATATACAGATCATTTTACTCTTGCTACTTCAGTATTTTGTTACTATTTGATATCTAAAATAAGATTTTATTATATCTTTGTGTTTTTTGTATTCAGTTTGGAAGACTGCTCGATTTGTGCCATCCTATTCATAAAAAATACCAGCTTGCTGTTACAAAAGTGTTCAGCAAATACATGACTGCTATTGTTGTTGCCACTGAAAAAACAGCAAGGGATTGCATTCGGTTCCTAAAGCAAGAAAGAGCTGAACCTGAAACTTTCCTTGCTTTGGATTACCTTGATGTAAGGATATTTTTTTCTTTTTCCTGCCCTCAGCAAGTTCATGCCACTGTGAATCTTGTTACTGTTTAATTCTCAGTAGTATAGATAACTCTGGTGTATTTTTTAGACTTGAATTACTTTATGTTCTAAGGAATTTGGAAAAATCTGATCACGTTAGATGGTAGGTAGGTTATGCTAGAATATTACAGGATAGGTTTATGATTTTCGGTGCTACTTAACCATGTGCTGTTCTGATGTAAAGACAACCTACTTGTGCATCTTAGGTTACATGTACGTAATTCTATATGTAGTAAGAGAGTGCTGTGCCTCTGTACGGCCCCTTAGAAATTGGAACACCGTTCCCCCATCCGTGCCACACTACTGAGTTACTGGAGTTTCATGCTTCCAGCTGCTTCTTATCACTGTGTACTTGTTTTGCAGGTTAAACCAATCAACGAGAAGTTGAGAGAGATAAAAGGAGCAAAAATGATGGTAGATGTTGTACAGACTCCATTTCCTCTCCTGAAGAAAGTGATTCAGTTTGTGAGTGGGAATGGTCTGGTGTGTGAAACAGTTAAAGAAGCCAAACAAATAGCGTTTGATGGACCCGTTAGGTTGAAAGTAAGAAGCTGAATTTTGTTGCATGTGGTTTGCAGTTTTCCAGTTACCTCTTTGATGCCATGTAAATAATTCTTCCATAAACATTCCAGCCAATATGACAAGATGAACACAGAATGGTACTGTGCTGTCCAGTCTGCTCCCACATAAATAAATCCATGGATATTTTGCATTCTTATGCCTTGCTGTTTATGGTACATTTAAATTATTTCCTGGGCGGGGTAAGAGCAGGCAAATTAGAAAAGATTGTTACAGAGTTAAAGCTCCTTGACGTAGTCCTCTATGGGAGAGAAAAGGGGAATAATCCTGTTTTTAAAACTTCCTGATGTAAAAATACAAACGTTATCTCGCTAGCTTTTCTGTGAAGAAATGCTTCCAAAAATCTTCAAGTATCTCAGAGAATATGGGGGGTCCTCTGCTTTGAAGACTGTCTTTTTCTTCAGTTCTTTCTGCTTGGGTTTATCCCTGTTACTGTCATAGCCTATATTGTCCTTTCATTAGCTTACTATACCTTTAAAATCCTAATTAAAACAGCAGTAAGTTGAAAGTGTTCAAGCTGAAAGTATGTTTTGCTTGGAATTCAGTTAACTCACAAAAATAAAAGTGTTCTTTACTAAAAGTAACGCTTCTGATTACAAGTGAGCTCTTCACTTTTCCAGCTCTGTAGTTTTTCTTCACCCCATTATCACTTTGCTTGATTTACTCTATCCAATCAGTCATAACATACTAAATTGCCAGTATATACACAGATGTTTCATAGTAATTTTCTAAATACAAGGAAATAGACTGGAAGAGGAAATGAAATTGTATTGTTATAAAAATGTTAAAAGTGATTTGCACCAAGAAATGAAGGACTTCTTTGTGTATCTCATGATAGCAAGTTTGAGAAGAAACAGAGTTCAACTAAAAGATGGTTATTGTTTGTTTAAACGTGATAGTATATTTTGGTGCTCTAGTTCTGGGATATTTTGGATGGCCAATTTCTGCTGCTTTGTGATGTTTAAGTTTTTGTTCATTTATTTCAGACAGTGGCCCTTGATGGAACTTTATTTTTGAAATCTGGAGTGATTTCTGGAGGCTCAAGTGATTTAAGAGTTAAAGCTAGGTGTTGGGATGATAAGGAAATTAATAAAATGAAAGAAACAAGAGATAGATTGATTAATGAGTTAAAGGTAGGTCTGTTAAAAGCACTTAACTACTAAAAACAAAAAAGAAATTAGATTACATACAGGAGGATGGTGAGGTAATACTCTATTTTGGTAGAGCAGAATCTTGTTTCTTTTTTTTTTTGTGTGTGTGTGTATGTGTGTATATATATATATATATATATTTAGCTGTGGGGAAGACTAGAATGATTTTCAGAACTTCCAGAAGAAACAGGAAAGATATAGTAGCTATTCAACCTCCTTCAGTTAATGGTAGCACACAGTTGGTCTCTGCCCTTTACTGATGGGTTACTTTACATATCCCAAGGGCAGAGAACAAGACCATCATTGTTAATGCAAGTTACATTTAAAAAAAGAGATCTTGTTCTGAATACCTGATGGCTTTTAACAGAAAAAAAGTTGATAGATTCTGTCAGCATGAATATATCTGCACAAAAATCTGTCAGTCTAAAATGATTTGCCTAACTCTGGTTATTTGCGAGAAGCAGTAGAGAAGGAATTCGCAAGTGTATGCATTCTTGATCGATAAAGCTGTTTAAAACTGCCGTTGAATGTGATCAGTGCCATCAGGACTTGCATTGATCATGGCCGTGTCAGTGAGGCTAACCATATATAGTATGTGAGTGTAAAAAAAAAAAAAAAAAAAAAAAAAAGTAATTTCCAAGTAAGTCAGCTTCTGTTTAAAATACTTTTGCCTTTTCCCACTTGAATATTTTTTAGGACTTAATGAAGATCAAACGTAAGGAGAGTGATTTGAAGCAACTACAGGCTCAATGCCAGGGAATTCAGACACGACTTAAATATTCACAGAGTGAATTAGACCTTATTCGAAAGAAACACCTTGCAGATTGCTACAAGGTATAGTATTAAGCCTTTATAATTTTCTTGCTTAATCGTTGTATTTATTGACCTAAGCCATAATGACAAGTGAAGTAATTATTACTTCCTTACATGATTTTTTAAATTCAGTTTAGGTTTTACATTCAGTAGTTATAACTGAAGAATTAATAAAATAGATATGAAAAGGAAAAATAGATAATAAAATAATGAGGCTTTTTGTATTTAATCTTAAGTTAACTTAAATTTCCAGTAAGCTTCGTCTACCATTTAGTAACCTGCAAAAGTCTGTAAGTCAATATGTACTTCATATTTTTAATTCAGCTTGCCTTTCCACTCATTAAAATTGTAATCACTGCATGCAAATCAGCAATAAATGTGATTGTGGCATTTAGGAAAAAAAAATAATTAGAAAATACAGATAATCTAGACCAGAACTGTCCAGTAATGCCTAGGAAGTTTTCCTTCTTGTTTAGAAAAGTTACCTTTTTCCTTTCTATCTAGGAAAAATCTAAACTGGAAAGTGAACTGATGAATACTGAATCTCAGCATGAAATGCTGAAAGAAGGAGTATTACAAAGAAAAGAAAAAATAGAAGAATTTCAGAAAAAAATTAATGAGGTAATGATTACTCTCATAATCATGGTAGCTTATGTTGTTAGAATCACATATATACTAACATCCAAATATAAAAGTTTGCAAATCAAATTCATTGGAATCAAAATGTTGAGCTTTGTGTGCCGGGTATAGACCCAGCTAAGTAAATGCATTTACTTTCCAAATTTTTAATTTTAGATGAAGCTTTACCTAATCCATATACTGTAATTTCATTTGAAATAGGGGAAAAAATAGGAGAAGAGGGATTGTTAGCCTTTCTCCTTCTGCTAATAATGATGATTGTTAGCATTGACCAGTGATAATCCATGGAAGTTTACAGCTTTAGAGGTCCTACTGTAAACCTTGGGTATGTATCAAATCCCAGAAGAATACTGTCCACCTCCTTTGTGGCATGAGGGTAAAATTTCGAAGTCTCATTTTATTCTTTCTCAGTCCCTATTGTCTTAAGTATTCTGTAAGACGTTGTAGTCACAGTGTCTTTGCTCTTCCTGGCTCAGGTGGGTCTGTTACAGCATGTGTATAAGTGAAATCCGGTTTAAACTCTGTGTATACCTGCAAGATTTGCAAATCTAAGGTAATCAGTGTCGTGTCTCTGGACAGACACTGTCTGTGGAGTTAGCTGTTTTTCTGAAAATCATTCTCTTCTCAGACGTGGCAGGACCCATTCAGTGTCTGCACTGAAATAACTACGTCAAGGACTTGTCCTCCGCCCACCCGCACCTAGCTGTGACAGATCCACAGCCAAATGGGCCAGGCAATCAAGCTCACGTACAGAGTGCACTATCAGTTGTCTAGGCCTCAGGACAGGGCACAATGATCTTGAAGCACTTCTGTTCTCTGCAGGTGGTGTTTCCTGGTGGTGGCATGTTACAATGCTATATTGACTAGAAAAGTAGATAAAGAGCACCGTGAAGACCCCAAACTTTTCTCTTTTTTGGAACCAAGCTTTTTATTTTGTGTCCGCTCTGGTTACCATGGGAGAATGGTTGGACAGTCTGACTTTGATGAACTATATTGATGAACTTTTGATGAACTGATGATCACCTCTAGGATGTCACACATCCTTCAGGCCCAGGATCATCCCGAGGTCTTTTTCTGCTTTTGGCCCTCAGCAGGGAATGATGACAGTTAGTCCCGCTGTCCATGAGCTACCTGGTGATTGTCAACAAGTTCCTCATTCTGCTGTAATTAAAAAAAAAAAAAAAGAAAGAAAGAAAGAAACAAAACAGAATGTTGAATGTGTCTGTTATGTGTTCAGTCCTTCATGAAGGACTGAACTATGTTGTGGTGTGGCTGATTAATCTTTGCTACCAGTTATGCTGGAGGGGTACCTAATACAGAGGTTCAGGGGCTTGTGCTATTCGAACGCACCTAAATTGATTACCTGTTATGGGTTCTAGGACAGATTTTGTCATTTTATCCTGCTCCTTTCCTGTCTCTTATCATGAGCAGGAAAGATGTTGGATGATAACATGAGATTCTATACGATGTTATGCGAGTCGATGCGTTCGGTTATTGGACCATTTTGGTTTCTGTTTGGTTGTTTTTGTTTGTTTTTCCTGTAGACTGTTCTGCCAAGTCGTACCTCAGTTCCCTGCTGTTCTGTACTCATCAGTTGGTCACTGGAACAGTTCATATAAATAGCTGATAAATTCAAAGTAATAGTTACCACAAAGTGTCTGAAGGCACTTGAGTAAAACAGGTAGTACTAAAGCCTAATCTGACAACAGAAGAATGTTCTACTAGAGCTCAGACTTCGCTGGCCTCCCCAGGAAATAAGTATCTGTCTCAGCCCCTGGCCTGGAAGCCACCTGCAGCCTTACTCTGTTCAAACATTGACAAACCTAGATAGACCTTGGAAGGATGGTGCTGCAGTTCATTTGTAAAACTCAGGAGTCAGTACCTAGATGCTTGTGTATATGTAGATTCTTTGAGAAAGACAGATTACTTGCCACTATCTGGAGTGGATAGTACACAAATACGTAACTCAGTTCCTGGCCTCTCTTCCCTTCTCATCAGCCTTTCTGGAGTTTTAATCTGTGTATGAAATTCTGCACATGAAGAGAAACCAAAACCTCTGCGTGTTCTCTGTCTTACGTTCTGGCATGAGGAAGTACAAATATTTGTATTCTGCAAGTACTGCAGAAGTCATTAATTTGTAAGTCATAGGAATTCCAGTTACAGTTAACTTTCCTTTTGCTTGTACTGCAAGGAAAAGTTGGGGAAGCTAGTCATCGATTTCCTAAGTAGGGTATGCTTACTATGCTTTAATTCCTGCTTAAACAAGCTTGTGCTTTTAAAAAAAAAGGGGAAGAGTACTGATTTGGGGCCATGCCAAGTTCTCTAAAATTTTGTTCGGTGTGTTGGGTTTTCTTCTAAATGTGGTAGGCTGTTGCTGTTTGTTCAGTCTTTCCTTGTACACAGTAGCTATTAGTTATCTAGTTTTTTTATTTTATTTTATTTTTAGAATTTTAGGACTTAGTATTTTTGCTGAAACTTTTGCTAGTATAGACTAAGTAATTAAGAAATGGAGCTATTTTGTTTTGATTTTGCTCTAAGTGGGACATAGTTATTTATGAGTCATGAGAAAAAGGATTAAGATGAGGAACTGAGCTTACAAAGCTAGCAGTTGGTGGGTTAGTCTTGTGTGCCATTCAGCCTTCTCTCATGGGAATGGAAGCCACAGATAAAGCACAGGAAGCTGGTTACACTGCAGTGGCAGCAGTTGTTTTTGCAACGAGCAGGCACCGTCAAGAACGGGAGTTATCTTCTGCAGGTCGTGTGCCTGCAATCTGGTATTTGTGCTGAAGGCTAATTTGAAAATGTCAAGTTCTCATCTTTTTTTCAGGAGTCACAGAATGATTGAGGTTGGAAGGGGCCTTTGGAGATCGTCTTGTCCAACTGTCCCGCTCAGGCAGGGTCACCACGTTGCAGAGGATTGTGTCTGGGCAGGTTCTGAGCATCTCCAAGGAAGGAGACTCCACAGCTCCTCTGGACAATCTGTCTCAGTGCTTTGCCACTCAGTAAAGGTTTTCTCATGTTCAGATGGAGCATTTTGTATTTCTGTTTGTGCCCATTGCCTCTTAAAGTTTGCAGTTTCTCTGAAATAACGTGAACTTCCAGCTTGTATCATGAAGTGATCGTCCAAATATTTGATTTTGAGAGTTGCAAAATGGTATGAACATATGAGTTTGTCTTTTCTTTACTCCAAGGCTGAAGATGCCGTTTTCCAGGAATTCTGTGAAGAGATTGGTATAGAAAATATTCGTGTGTATGAGCAAGAACATGTGAGGCAACAAGAGGAGATTGATAGGAAAAGGTGGTATTTGTAAATTAAAAGTTAAAAAGTGGTGTGAATTGTATTGGACTGGTAAATGAATAACTTTTTCACAGGAAATATCACAAATGTAGATGACTATAAAAGGTCATGTTAGCATTGCAAGAATTAGGTTAGGAGCCAGCACTTGCAGTACTGCTGTCTGGATTTATAAACAGCCATCACATAACCAAATGCTACAGGGGCATTTTGCAACAAACTTGATAGGTTAAAAGGAATTCTTTTGGTGGTACTGTTGTAGAAAAATAAAGTGCCAAAAAAGAACAGTTTTCTAAATTCCACACTAAGAAGTGGCCCTGTTGCCAATTGAGAATCACATGAATGAGGATGACTCGTGAGCATGAGTCTTAAAGAAGTGAATGTCAGATACACTGATTTTAGTATAGGAAGGTATTGTTAAGGAAAGTGGAATCTTAGTTTTCTCACAGATAACTCTAGTGAGAGGTAAATGTCACAGTACCACAAATTTATATTTGAAGAACGAGCACATTAAAGTGAACTGTCTCATGTGGTACTGGAGTTTTCAGGCAGGTGGTAATTCATTTTTTTGCTGGTATTCTTTATAGAAAATCCAGTTTTTCTAACACGACCCACTTGATTCCTAGCATTGATCTCCATTTTCTTTTCAGCTGTCCCTAGAGCTACAAGCAGTGCTCTGGGTTTCAGAAATGGGAGCAGATGTACTTGTTGACTAGGGCTGCAGTGCAGGAGTAGTAGTACAGTGCATGCAGTGGAAGTTTAAGCACCTGTTGATACGTAAAGTAGTTTGATCATTAGTTTATGTTGGCAACAACTTCAGCACGACAAGGTGGAGCGACGAGTGGTAGAATAAGGAGTGCAGTAGCATTTTGTAGATGCTACGTTGCACAGGGGGCCTGGCGCATGAGCCTGGTAATGCACAGCACCAGTGCAGTCATTTACAGATACATCCCATATTCTGAGAAACTTGGAAAATTTGTGTGACCATTGGTCACATTATTGGTGTGGTATTTGATTTGTTGAATTATCGATGTATTTTTTTCTAATTTCTGCTATATCTGCAAGAGGCTGTGTAGTAAAGTCCATGATCCAAATCTGTACAAATTCTTGTATTCAAGTAAAAGATAGTTTGTTTATATATATATATACACATACTTTATACATAATTTCATACACTAAATAGTAAAAGTGAAAATGTTTCTTTTAATACCTGCTAGTACTAGTCTCTAAGTATTGCTTTGAAATACTGTGCTTTGACTAGACTGGAGTTTGAAAGCCAGAAGACACGACTAAGTATTCAGCTTGAATATAGTCATGAGCACCTACAAAAATTAACAGATGCAGTCAGCACGTTGAGAGGGACCATCCAAAAAGATGAAGCTGAGATTGCCCCGCTGCGGAAGGTAACCAGAATTGACACATGCACGTGTGTGTGCACATAGATGCAATGTATGCATACATATGTGTGTCTGTATATATGTATTCTTCTATTACAAAATGGCTTTGTGTTTAAAAAATGCAGTTGCATATTGTTTTAACCTTGAAATAACTTCTGTTGTCATTCTTCTTTCTTGTACAGAAATCAGGAAGTTTGACATTACTGCATATACAGTGTTGTGTTGCTTTTAATGTTTATGAAGAGATATCATATGACCAGATAAAACTAATAGCATATGCTTGGGATATTTTTAGCCTTATTAGTAACAGTAAACAATTCTGGTGCTTTTTGATCTTTAAGGTTCTTCACAGATATTAACAGGCCTAAAATAACTGGCTGTGAACACTAATTCAGATTTTTATTTGCAGAAATACATTTCTCCTTCAGAGTGTCTTTTTTCCTAAAATATTTTCACAAGATCGTGTTGACTATGTGTAATAAAAATACATGTTTATAATTAATTTCTGTTATATTAATGTTTCTTGTTGAATATATTGTGCTTGTCATGCACTGGAAAATGAAGGAAAAATATTGTAAAACAGTTCTTTGAATGCAAAAAATAGAAGTGAAATGTAAAAATACTGCGAAGCAGAAAAAAAACCTATATGCCTCACTTGAAGTCTGCTACTGTATGTTAAAAGCATTTAAATAAACAAATACGTATTTAATGTATAAGAGGATATGTTTTTCTGATATTGAGGAAGAAGAATGGCCCTGATACACTGATGCACAAAAGCAAAATAAGGCTTTGAGCAAAATCAGAAGTTTTCCTCCATGTGATTCTGATTCTAGAGGTACTTTGTTCTAGTGCTGTCACAGCAGTCATCCTGGTAATATTTGTCTCGGTGCTCTATGTCTTCGTGCACATACTGGATTTCCTGTATTTCAGCAGCTAATTTCTAGCAAGTTAGCAATGGTGTGAAATATAGACACAGACATATATATGTGTGTGTGTACATATGATATATGTATATATGTGTGATATATGTGTGTATATATGATAAATATATGATATAGTTTGTGTGTATAAATATATGTATATATGTGTATGTATGTATGCTTCCATATAAACGTCCATATACATCTATGTGTGTGTGCATGTTTTATATATATGTGTGTGTGTGTATATATATATATAAATACTATATAGATATAATATATTTAAACAAATTAAAAGAGAAGCATTTTCTGGAGTACTTCTGCAGTTTCCTTCTTTGCAGACTACCCATGGATTTATTTCTAAGGAACAATTCTTTTTAAATAGTTTTACTACTTAAAGGTCTTCCTAAACATGTTGTAGAACAGCAGAGGGGATCTTTCTTGCAGTGCTAAGGGAGTAACTGAGGAAAAACAATCAGTCTACAGACTGTAATAGTCCTGGTATCCCTGCTGTCAGATTTCAGATGGTACAGTCACAAATCTGAAGCTGGTCATGCTGTGTATACACAACATCTGGATCTTCCTGTGTGTATTTTAGATTCTCTGCTGTAACATTTTAGTGTACTGTAAGAGGTTATAACTTTAACCTTATTTTCTGTTGAAGAGAGGTTTCATATAAAGCTTTTTGGTAAAAGATTAAAAATATAAATATTTCTTTGCAGGATGAGGAAAAGCTTCTAAAAAAGGTGAATGAAATTGTAGAGGAGCAGCAGCACCTTAAGGATAGATTACATGCCCATAAATCTGAGGTTTTAAAAATCCAGAATGAAGTTGAAGAGTTGAGAAGGACATTATTAACTCTTAACAGGTAATAGCTTTCTCCAGGCCTTTAAGTCTCGTGTATCTTAAAGCATTTGTTAGTTTCTGGTCACTGTTTTGTCATAAGCTCTGTTTTTGTATCATTTGCTGTGGGGATAGTTCATACTTCATTTTTCTTACTTTTTTTTATTCTTGGTCTTTTCCTCTGTTGCCTCTAAATTAGAAGTCTTAAAGAAAAGTTACCTGTCTTTAAAAATGATATATTGGTGCAGTATAGTTGAGCAAATGTACAGAATTTTATATAAATTAATGAATTATATATTTTTAAATTCATTTTATTGGTAAAATGCATAGCTTTAATAACATAAGTCAAACGTAATTTGTTTGACTGATCAGCCTTAGTGACGCTGCTGCCAGTTCAACATTTTTCATCCTTTTGTATAGGGAAGCTAGCAAATTACAAAAGGAAGCTACAGCAATAGAAACATCTTTGGAAGAGAACAGATTAAGACGACATAACCTGCTCCTTGAGTGCAAGGTGCAGGACTTGAAAATAGATCTTCTCTCTGGATCACTGGATGATATCAGTGAAGTAGAGGTATTGAACATCTTCATGGAAGAGAGCTATCAGGAAGGAGCAATTATTTAGTCTTGATTTTTTTTTTTTTCCTTTGAGGGCTGATTGTCATACAGAGTAATGTTAAAATAATGTCACTGTTTTAGTGTAATTAGGCCTTACCCATTTAATCAAAAGATTTTTTTGTTTAGTAGACAAAATCATAGGGTGCTAATTAACTAGGACCTCAATTTTGTGTTTTTATTTTGGAGGAGGGAGTCAATGGAAAGAGCACCGTTTCCCTGCTGTCTTGTTCCACTATCTCCTTATTTTCCATCTTCGTAATGTATCGTAACAGAGTTAGAAGTTAACACTTTCTTTCTGCTGACTTGGAGTGTCCTTTGTATCTATAGCTAAGAACGGAAGTAGACGACACTCAGACTACATCAACTATTTATGAAAGAGAAGAAGCAATTCAGATAGACTACAGCAGCCTACCAGAAGACCTGCAGGTAAATCTTTTTAGTTAATCTTAACAGGTAAATAATTTTAAATTAGCACAGATGGAAATATTTTATTTAGTTTATTTGTAGAAATTATTTACATATTCTTCCACAGCCTTTAAATAGGACTTACTTAAAAAAAAAAAAAACTAGTAATCTTAAGAGTGTGTGTGTGTGTGTGTGTGTGTGTGTGTGACTTTTGTTTGCCATTATACCTAGCACTAATATGATATATGAGACTTTTGGATAGGCCCCTCTGTAGGTAAATTTAATTTAAAAAGTTACTTTAGCTATAAAAAATATAATGGAAAAATAGTAAATATAAATTGATGGGATTTTTTCCCCTCTTACCTTCTGCCTTTAAATTTCAACAAGCAACACAGGTTATGACATAAAATTGTGGAAACTAGTGATGGGCTGCTAAAGGGGTTTACCACTTCATTTTCAGGCAGAGGCACTTAAAATATTGATCCAGCAGATCATTTTTCTGAGAAGTTTTTGTCTCTCTTTTCTTTTTAGCCATCATAGTTATATGTAAAGTAATTAAATGATAAAGGTTTGGTAGAGAGCAAGGTAGAAATCTGTCATCATTGGAGCTTGGCTTGAAGAACTTTTCAAGGACCTGTCTTGAAAGGCTTTGTCCACAAATCAAGTAATGCTGCCAGCCAATCCTCCTTCTGTGGTGATGTTTAACTTCAGACTTCTAGGCTAAGGGGGACTCACTGTCACTTCTTAAAGGTCTGGTGGAACAGTTCCTAAGACCTTGTAAATTAATTCTGCGAACGAAGAACCTAGGTGGAGTTTTTAGTTTTGTTAGCAAATTGAGGAGTGGGGTACTTCTCCTGGAAGTCAAATCGTGTATTTGAAATCTCTCGGTCTAACAGCAAATTGTATAACTATTTTCTTCAGGAGCTAGAGAACGAAAAGGAAATTGAGATTCACCTAAACCAGCTTCAGCAGTAAATAAAAGCTGAAGAAAATACTTTAATGAAGACAGCTGCCCCAAATCTAAGAGCGACAGAGAAATTGCAGATTGTTCGGGACAAGTTTCAAGAATCAATAGATGGTAACATTGAATCTCTCTAATATTTCTTATGACTCTTATCCTAATTAAAAATCTTTCTGGAGTTGGCACTGCTATTTTTCCTCCTTTAATGTATTAATATATTTTTTGTGCCTAAATCTTTATCCTCAGTCCTCTTTTAATAATATGTCAAGAAGGTTATTAATTAAAACTCTGCAATACCTTTTTGAAGTATATTTGTAGCTGTAATGTATTTATCTTTAGCAAAGACGCTTTCTTGATCAAATGATACTATAAAAGACTTTCATGTAGTTTTTGAAAAACTTTTATTATGAAAATGTTTATATTTTTCTTGTTTAATTGAGGAAACATGTACATGTTGTTAATAACTCGGACATAAACATTACTACAGAATTATTGGGTGTCCTTAGAGAGCATTTTAGATGTTAAATTTTCAAAAAGAGTTCTGAAGGTATAACATCAGATATATTCTGGTGCAATTTAAAGGCACCCAGTTTACAGAAACAACTAGAAGAGACAATTCTTTCACATTGTGCCAAATGGAGGTGGCACTGAGGAAACTGAATGGCTGCTAACTTCATCCTTTTGGGGCCTCCCAGTTGAAATCTGGAAGGAAACTCATGCTGTTTGTATGTGCATTAGAGCCTTTTCTTCTAATATTTTCCTTGATGCTTGTTGTGTTGCACCATGTATGTTTGTTCTTTGTATTTGCTTAGAGACTTATTATGAAGTAATTTCAGTAATTTTTTTCGTAGCTTTTGAGACCAGCAGAAAGGAAGCCAGAATATGCAAGCAAGAATTTGAACAGGTGAAAAAAAGGAGATACGAGCTTTTTAGCCAGTGTTTTGAGCACGCCTCCATAGCTATTGACCAGATCTATAAGAAACTATGCCGAAACAGTAGTGCCCAGGTGTGTCATGTTCTCAGGTGTCTGGCTTTAAAAACCCACTCCGAGCTTTGTTATCTAAGAAAGACAGTTTCAATCCTGGAGAAGAAACTTACACAAATAACAGAGACTTCAGAATTTTAGATGATATAGATATAATACAGATAATATGCCCCACCATGTTTGACATGAGGCAGATTAATGTCATTTGAAGTGTTAAGCAAATGGGGAACCTGATAGTTTTGGGTGAGTTTTCCTTTTCATATTTAGCAGACTTGCAATTATTCATAACAGAAGCAGGAAATATATTCAAGTACTTCATTTAAAAACAACAGTTTAAAACAAATATATTCAAGCACTTCATTTTTTTTTTTAAAAAAAGGGCTAGTGACAGTAATAACAAGTAAGCTCTCGGTGCAGAGGACATTTGTGCCGTGAATATATTGCTCAAATTTATTTCATCAGCACATGTGTGTTAGAAGTACTCTAAAAGAAATTACTGCCTAAAAATGTTTGGTAGAGGAGTAGGTTCTGCACCAGAGCTTTTCCGTTATTCCTCTGTAGGAAAGAAAATTGTAGCTTCTTTCGTATCTTAAAGAACAAGTTGTATATGAACTTGCATGAAATGGACAGTCAACTATAGGAATTTTTCTTTTATCTTGTAGCAACTTGAGCAGAGGGGATGAGATTATATTAGACTATTCTCTTTAATGGGGAAAAAATGTAATGTAAAATGGGAAAAGCATGTGTCACTTGGTGTATCCATACTGCTTCAGCAGATTGGTGAATATCCATTCCTCTGAAATAATTCTTCCAATGTGGGGGCACAGGAAACAGTATACAAAATATACAGAAAGCCTGCATATGTTAAAGTCATTCTCCAGATAGTAAGAAATGCAGTAGCGACGTAGAGTCTGTAAAATTAACTTTCCACTTAAAAAAAGATAAATTTGTAAACGTATTTGTTTACAAAAGTGAAAACTACTTTTTAAATCTAAGGCTTAAAAAAAAAAGTAATTAAAGTTCTAAAATCAGGCTTATTTATTAAAAGTATGTTACTAAGAGATACATGAAGCTAGTTCTAAAGCAGTTTTTTCCTGGTTAGCCTTGCCTTGGTTAGCAAGGAGAGATTCACTGGGGATTTCTATAGTGCTTCTCTTCAGTATGGATGAAGAGGTGTTTCCTACAAATGAAGCTAACTTAGCAGTTCCAACACTACCTCAGAATTTAAACCTAAAAAGAAAAAAAAAATCCCTGTTACTGGTTTTATAAAAGTCATTGCTAATAATGAAATGTATGCATTTGCAGGCATTTCTTAGTCCTGAAAATCCGGAAGAGCCCTATCTGGAAGGCATTGGCTTTAACTGCGTGGCTCCTGGGAAACGGTTTATGCCCATGGATAGTTTGTCAGGAGGTGAAAAGTCTGTAGCAGCTCTGGCTCTTGTGTTTGCGATACACAGGTAAAAGAGGCGCTATGTGTTAAAAAGGATGTTATAGGATCAGCTAAATTGATTGCTGCATATAGCAGAAACAGTGTTGTATTTACAGGCATGTTGAAAATCTGCTAATACAGTATGCAAATATCAACTAGAAATCCTTTATTCTTTCCCTGCCATTGCTTAACAGAATTATATGGTAAAGTGAATAAAGTATTTAGAATTCAGTTTATTAGCATTAATATTTTTGCATGTACTGCAAAATAATGTATTTTCTTCTACAGTTTTCGTCCAGCACCTTTTTTTATTTTAGACGAAATAGATGCTGCCTTAGATAACACAAACATTGATAAAGTAAGTTTATTGCTTTTACTTTATTGTTACTCTGTAATACTATAATGGGATCTTTTTCAGAAGTACATGTTGCTGGGGTGAAGAGAAAAGATTGCTTACACTCTTTAGCCTATTTCAAACTACACTAGGTGACCAAGGTTATGTTTAAATTTGTAATGTGAAAGTGTGCAACATGAACGTATGTGTTACAATCTGACATGGGGATCATCTGTGAATTGCTGATTATTTATTTGTTTGTTTATTTATTAAGCACACAGAGTTCCTGTACCTCTCAGTAATAGAAAATAATGTGTCTGGATTTTGAGAATCAGACCATTCTGTTACTGGAAATACTTACTTGATTTGGCCAACTACATAACTTTATCTCCATGAACACCAATTAAGGGCTATCACTCGCTCCCATTTCTGTTGCAGTTTCTTTTTTCTCTTTGGTAAGAACCATTCACTATAGTGGTAAAATTATAGAATAGAATACAAACTATGCAGGTTGGCAGTTGTTGATGGGTGTCTCGTAGAGGAGCTTCCAAAGGAGGTTGTATTTAGGAGAGGAATGAAAATGTTCCCTGCATATTATCTGGATTCTTTCCTGTGCAAACATTCCTCTCCTCATAAAGTGAGAGCGGGTTACACTTCTAGCAGAGAGGGGAGTCTCAGTCGCTCTCAACTCCATTAAAGTAGTTTTATGGACAACAAACAATGTTGCTTTCTGTCAGAGCTCAATGTGTAAAGTACCCGGCATTGCTGAGGGCTCCTCTACAGCAGAGTGCTGAGGAGGGGGCACTGTTTGTGCCTGACAGATGGAATTCCTTCTCGGACATTGCTGACCCCCGGGGCTTCTTGAGAAGCCTCGGGCTTTAACGACACATGTGACTGAAGAGATGGCTGCTTCACCCTTGAGAATGTACTAAGCAGCATTCCTCTGCAGAATGCTATAAACAAAAGATAGCCTTTTTATTTTATTTTATTTTATTACGTAACTTCATTTCTTGATTAAAATCTTTCATAAATATGAACAATTTACTGCAGGTAAAAAATCGCATTCATACCACACTAAGGTTTCCAAAGACCTTAGTTGGGAAATCTTAGTTGGGAGTTGGGAGGAGAGTTAGCTTATTCTTTAAATGTTTATGACAAATTACGTGCTTAGATTACAGGCTCTCAAATTGTAGCATGAGGAAAATCATATTGCCAGTGCTCTGCAAGAAGTATTAATAATGTCTCCCTGCTCTTTCATATCTTTTTTTTTCCTCAACTGTAAGATGACCCATTACTGGAAAGCATCGAAATCTTCAAACAGAGGAATTAAATATTGCAAGTGAGCAAAATGATATACTCGGTGTAATTTAGCATTTGGAAATACAATATGTTGCTAGTACTTACTGGCATCCAGAGAATTTGCTTAGAACTAAATCAAATTCTTTCCTTTTGTTTTGTTTGTTTAAGGATTTACTAGAGAAAGTTCCAACAATTGATTCACACCGTCAAATAAACAAACAACTTAATTTTGTACTGCTGAAATCCAGTTATCCTCCATCACATCTTCCAGATAAAACTGAACAGACAAAAACATCAGCTCAATTTTTAATACAGTTCATTCTTTATTCAGCATTTAATTTCCACTGTGAGATATTGTCTTACCGAAGCCTCTAATTTGTAGCTTAATTTCTGTGTCTTTCACTTTGCAGATCAATGAAAAGTTATTGCTCTCTGCTTGCAGCAAATTGCATATTTAAAATTTTTGTATGCAACCAGTAACGGACATTTCATTTTTATTCTCTTACTTGGGAATTTTCACCTACCTTCCAAATAATATTAAGTAAAATATTTTTCATTGACACTGACATTTTTCTGTAACCTTAATCTTTGGAGTGAATGCTTGTTTTCATACACGTTTAAAAAGGGGCAAATCTGAGTGGTTGTGTTAAGAACGTGCAAAGTAGCTGTCTTAAGATGTTGCTCATTTTATCCTGCTTATTTCATAATAGAATTACTGCATTCCAGAGCTAACGTAATTCAGTTCCTTCTGGCCTATTCCCTAATTACAGTAACTATAGCGTGCTGTAAGTCTGCAAGAACTTATGTACTGAAGTATTTGGCTTCTCTACAAAGGTATCGAGTTTCATCAGAGACCAGGCACATGAACAGGTTCAAATGGTAGTCATTTCTCTAAAAGAAGAGTTTTATTCCAAAGCAGACGCATTGATTGGAGTGTGTCCAGAGGTAAGAATTAATTACTTCTCACTTAGAATTTTGTCAGATAATACAAACTGTTTTTTTGTTAAAAGTATTGATTTACTCCTTAAGAATTACTGCGGTTAATCATTACGTATGTACCTGTGATGTTGGATTTGAACGACTTTATTTGCCTTCTGAAGTAAATATAGATAGTGACTTGGCTAGCAGATCACTTGGGCTGACTCAAGCTTGTTATGTCTCCTGGTCAGTTAGGAAATGCTTGTTTCAAATAATAAAGGTTCTAAATTGTGTGATCCTTTTTCTCAGCATGATGACTTTATGTTCAGTAAAGTACTGACTCTGGATCTTACTGCGTATCCAGACGGGGATGAGCAGGAGAGAGAGCACAGACCCAGTTCTGGACTGGAATGACTTCTGTGGGGCCACATGGAAATAACAAGAACTGTTTTGTAGTTGACTTTGTAGCAGGTTTGAATTTGAATGTGATATTAAAGGTTGACAGAGACATTTATGTCTTTCAAACAAAGCAATTTTGTAGAATTTTGAAAGAACCAACTACTGTTCACTGATACAGCTTCGTTGCAAAAGAGAGCGCACCAAAGCCTGTTAATGAAATGCATATAGTCTGATAGGCAAAGCGTGCTTTTCAGCTCTTTTATTTGCCTTAAGATAAGGACCCCAGGGTCACATAAAACATGCTGTTAGAAGGCATTAGACTTTGTGTTACTTTTTTCTTCTAAAAAAAAATTCTTTAGCCATTTCAAAATTTCTCTTAAGTGGCAGCTGCATCTGCTTGCCTTCAGCCACTATACTGAAGTCTAGCTGTTACCTCATGTTACTTCGTGCTACCTACTGCAATCACAGTAGGCCCCTGCAAGCTTTGGAAACTATTAATTTTAGTTTGTGCTGCTTCCCTATGGGAGTGATAAAACCTGGAAGTTTACCCTACAAAGAAGCAGGAAGAGCTTAGTAAGTGCACACCTGGTGCCCCACACCTAGAACACTCTCAACTGCAAAATAATACACTTTTTTTTTTCCCCAAGATTGCTACCCCTGTTGGCCCATTGCAGTGGATTGTGGATTTTGTTGTTTTTCTGATACCTGTGCTTTGTATAAGAAGGTAACGAAGTTGGTGATTTCGTGATTTTTTTGCTCTCAAACATCTTTCTGAAGCTGCCCTGTGTTTCACTGTTTTGTTTTTTGCTTATTCCGTGTTTGCTCAAACAATTGCATTATATGTTCACCTGCTAGTTTCCTTTAGGCCACCAGACTGCTGTGCTTATATGTTGTAATGTTCCCCCTGATGTGCTTGTTGTGCACAGCTGAGTAACACTGGATAAATCTCTGGTGCTACTACAGATGGAAGGCATGGCATAGAATGATCCCAGAGGAACATGTTAACACCATAAATGTCTGCCTTTAATAGTAGATTAATATTGATTAATATTAATGCTGCTGCCACTTTTTTCCGTAAATAAAGTTATTTACTCTCACTGTGCCTCATGGCTGAGATCAGTCTCTTTCCTCAGAATCTGCTGGCAGAGATGAAAATGTGTCTGTTAGTGTGAAGGAGGAAGAGGAGGGCAGCCTCTTCTCTTTCCCACAGTCGCCTTCATCCACACCCAGCTATATACTGAGACATAGTCCTGGTTTTGTCTTTAAGCCACCTACTAAGAATATCTGCTTGAAATGGGAAATAAAAAATGTAAAAAACAGGTGCTAAGGAAAGGTAAGAGATATATTAACTGTTATACAAAAACCGGCTCCTTGGATTGATTGAGGATTTTATTAACATACACTCTTTTATCAGAGTCAACCAACCAGCTTCATTCACAGCTTGTGCAAAACATGCTAATGATCAACAGGACTGTGTTTTCAGTAAGTATAATTATTTAAAAATAATTATAAAATACAAAAGGAAAAGAACTCTGGTAGAAACAGCACATCACTTGCATAGCTTTAGGCGTATGGTTAATTCTTTCACCATATCACTTTTATTGAGGGAACAGTTCGAACAGAGCCTTAAACAAGTTGCTTTTCCCTTTACCATGAATCAAAGAGAAGAGCCCAGTTTCAGATTCTGTCCTTTTTGACTATATTTTAGTCCTTGAGGTAGCTGCAAGGCACTGCTGTTCATAACATAGCTGAACAGCCATAGATGATGTCGTTTCTTCATTGAAAAGTAGGGGGAAATTGCCCACGTTTCTGAATAATCCTTCTTAGGGTAGAGGTTGATTTGAAACAAACTGATCACTTGTGCTTTTCAGAGTGCAAACAGATGGCCCTTGAGTTAAGAGAGGCTGTTGTACAAGTTGTAGTTCAGCAGTGTTTACAAAAGTGAATACCCTCCACTGCTAGGTGCAAGCTGCCCATAAGGATCAGAGGGCAGGGTTGTGATTTCCAAATGTAAATTGCTTCCAGACACAAGATAAAGTGCTACATGACTTCAAGGAAGGGCTTAGTAATTTTAATAATCACAGTCATAAAAAAGAATAATGAGCAAACTCCATCATATGAGTTGAGCTCTGTTTTATGTCTGCTTACATTTTGTAGACAGTTTTACAGGGTAGCATCTTGCAGCTACTGCTGTATGTGATGCTGAAAAACATAAGCGGTATGTGGGATAAATAACAGTTTCTCAAAGGGAACATGGGAGTGGGCCTAGATTGAGTCTCATTTGCCTTTTCCTTTCCAACTTCTTACAACAGAGCCTCACCTTCAAGCCCTGACACTGAGCTCCTCAGCAGCTCTATCACACACTAAAGCCTAAGGCTGGGCTCTTGATCAGGAAACACAAGTGGAGCAATAGTTAAGTCAGTGTCCCCACTCTGTTCAGACTTTCTAGCCAGGCAATGTATCCTCAGAACAGGGACAAAGCCTTCCTCCCCCCCAAAGAAGCCTAACTCTTGGCATCAGAATGGGTCAAAGAAGCCTTTGCTTCAGCTTCAGCATTTCAGTGTGTATACCTTATGCAAGAGCTCTAGCCCCTCCTCTCCCTGCAAAACCTCCTGCGATACATGTGATTCCTGGAGGCCTTCCACCTAGATGGCCACAGGGGATGGCACTGGAGAAGCCTGACTTAAGCAGTCTCCTGGATCTTGAGCTATGAATATGCCAGGATGAAAATAAGAAGGGCCCAGGGCAGTTGACAAGACTTACCCACATCTCTAAAGCCTCTCACAAAGGTTTCGTGTGTCCGTGTTAGTAACTGGGGCAGCGGGTAACTCGGTGCTAGAAGTAACTACCTTGGAGAAATGCTTACCAGGGTGTCCAACTTCAGCCACCGCAGTAGCTTCAATGAGGTCTAAGTTACTAAAAACTGTATACAGATACATAAGGATGCTAACTGACAGATGAAAACAAACACTTCACAAGCATATTATTGTGATATAAGTTCTATTAACATGGAAAAGAAAGATGTTAATAATTTAAAGCTGTTAATAATAGCTTACAGTTTAGATCTGAATCCTGCAAACACTTGTGCAGCCAGGCCCCTGAAGACTTCACCTTCCAGTTGCCTAAATGCAGTACAGCAAGGGTTCAGCTGAGGAGCAAAAAGAAAGGTAACACTAAGGTACACTAACAGGTAAGGTACACTAACAGGTAATTTCAAGTATGTCAGGAGTCAATTTTTAGATAGATTCAAGCACATCTTGTGGCTTCAGAGCACCCTACCAAAACCCAACCTTGATATAAGCGCAATGCTCTTTCAGCAGCCTCAAGACTTCCAATGGGCTTGAAGCACAGCAAGAAAAAACTTGAGCCAGCACAAACCGCTTTAAGTAGTATGGAACTGTCTGGAGAAATTGAGCTTGACATCTATTCCTCACTTACATCCTTAGACAAGAAAATATTAAGGCATTTTTTAATCCACTTACTTAGAAACATGGAAATAGCTCAAAACTTTCCATGGTTTTTGAATTTTCATTAAGTAGTGAGTATACCATTATCCGATTGCTTCATCTGCTTAAGAGGATCAATGCTGTTTTCCAGCTTCATTTTAGCACTGTCCACACATGAAGTTCCTGTAGAGGAAAAGAAAAGAGGAAAGGAATTATGGAGCAACATTAGAGTACTCTTTTTACAGTTTTGTGTACTTATTACAAATATCCAGTATGAAAATAATACGGGCGCATTATCACACGGACCCCTACTGAAAGTCTGCACCCCCAGTTCAGTTACCTCAAGTTTTTCCCAACATAGAACTATGAGACTAATACATATAGTATTATGGGGTTTTCTTTCTTTCTTTCTTTAATATTCCAAAATACAAGTAAAATAGGTGCTAAGGCTGCTTTTAAGGAAGACGTTATTGGATAAGTTAGCAAAGGAGTTCTATGTTAAATGGAATTGGACTAACTTGGGTTTAAGTGTTTACTTTCTTACTTTTCACTGCTACCCAACTGTACTTCAATGAAAAAGGTATGGTAAACACATCTGAAAGAGAGAAAAGCTTAAAAATCTAAGTGGAGGTACAAAAGTGTACTTCCAGAAGTACTGAATTTACGTCTGCCTACAAGTCTCGGCCCTTACATAGTTTCTCATTGTTTAGAAGAAACAGAAACTAGCATGTCCTGCAATAATGAAAAAAAGATTGTTTACACAACTTTTCCACATAGCAATCTTATTTGTAGCAGCAGCACAAAGATCCAAGAGGATATCTTTGAAGTGCTTATCCTATGAAGAATGTGGCTACTTCAGCAAGTAACACAAAGAAACCTGTGCAATGCTTTACAAAAATTCATCCTCAGTAGTATGTGCTTCAGTTTGGCACTCATTCTTCTACATTTTCTTAAGGAAAAAAAATTCAAAATTTCCATATATGTTTGGAAGTATGTCCGTGAGTTCTTAATTTAGATCAACCTGATCAGCATAAATGATCTTTCATGCACATTTGCTGGAGCTTTTCCATTATGTCACTTATTATTTTACCTACAGTTGAAAGTCCCCAGACATCTGTTCAGAGTAGAAACAAATGAGGGAGTAAATAAAAACAGCTAAGTGTATTTTCACAGCCAAATCAGGGCTCTGCATAATAAGAATTTAATTACTCTGTAAGTAAAAGACTATTTTTATAACCCTGCTAGCTTTTCTAAGAAAAGGATAATGTGGTTTACCCAACAGTGTTGTGCTGTCCACTCGATCAGCATCTAGAGAGAGACGGGAATGGCAGAGTTAGCTTCCAAAGATTAGATTATGCCTTTTTTTAACTCCCAAAATGGCAATCTTGCATTTCTTTCAAATAACCTTTTTGACAAATTTCTTATGCCATTTTTCGGAAGAGTTTTTTCTAATCTTAACCCTAGTGAACTACGCAGTGCAAGAAAGCAAGTGAACTAATGCAAAGTGCAATTCAGCTTCCTTTCAAGACCAGCCAGGCAACAGACTCTGGGATTGTATTTAACAGAGTGGCATAGCAGGCTGACACAGTCTAAAGGAATCTGAAAACAGAATTTTTCTCAAGTCTCCTTGAGAAGAATTGAGACACATGAAGCTTGTGTTCAAACTGCTACCTTATACCTCATTAGTTTGTAAATAAGCTTGATCTCGAATAAACAATTACTGAAGAAGTGTTTTTACAGACAGTAAGAAACTCCTGAAATTTGAAAGTAGGAAAAAAAAAAAAACAAGGATTAAAAAATGTTCTTCACAGGACACACCAGACACACTTGCTTTTTTACCAAAAAATATAAGAACATGGGGGAAAAAAAAAAAGTGAAACTTGGTAGTTTGTAACCTAAAGGGCAGTTATCCAGTGTTGTTGGACTCTTGACTTCTGAACAAGATTTTGAATCCAGACTAAGATCCTGCTTCTTCCGAGTACTATGCCTGTGAGTAATCCCATGGAATGAAAAAGAGCAAATCTGTACGTTGGCAGTGCTACAGCACGATCTTCCAGTTGTTTCCAGTAATAATATCCCTTCTTATTTTGTATTTAGAGGCTAATTAAATACATCTTCTATGCTATTTTGAGATCAATGGCTGCCCTACAGTAAAACTTATTTTTAGGTGTCTGTATAGCAGACAAACTTTCTGGGACTTAAATGCTGTTTTTTTTTTTTTTTTTGCCTTCATGAATGAAAAAAACCTGAATCTTGTCTAAATGCAGTTTTAATCCACTTACAGAAATCATTACACAATTGAGAGACTCACCTGCAATCTTTTGTATGAGGGCAAACACAAATCCTCCTATGCCCCACTGTGGAAGAATTTTAGTCAAAACAATTCCACAGACATTGTAGATCAGAAAGGGCTGTGAAATAATATTCTTCCCAAAATAACTTTCCCTTTATTTTCCTCAACTCTCTGGATAGCTCACAACCAGAGTGAGGATGTGAGCTATGCAGGAGAGACACATGTGGAGTAGTTCCACAACTCTCTGGATAGAACTGCCCTTACTAGGAGAGCATTAGAGAAATCTCCTTTCTCTTCTATCAATGCACAGCTGTCATTTTTGCACATTCCCCCCCCTCTCCCCCCCGCCCCCCCTTTTTTAATATATAAAAAGCTCTTTACTGTTACTCCTAAGTGGTTTTATGAGTTGAGAGGATGCAAGAGGAAAAAAAAAAGTGAGCAAAGAGATCTAGTTGGTACAATTTAGTCTCCCCTTAGAGAAGAATTGTTACCTGTAGCATTGACTTATTTCCCATTATAATATGAACAACCCTGTACAGAATGGCATTCACTCTCCACAGCCTACTATTTTATACCCTCAATTTTTGTCCCCATTAGTCCCATGTAAAGCTTTATGTTATTGGGGGTACTGTTTATATCCTTCAAGATTTTCAGATTTCAAGATTTCATTCTCTCATTCTATGTTTAATAATATTATAAATATTTTGGTTCACTCAGATGATCCCATGAATTACTTCCTTCATTTCTTCCAGCCTTTCACTGACATTTCACATTGCACATAATGTGATACTGGATACTGAATGGATTAGCCCAGACAAGAGTTATACACATGAATAAAAAGAAACATAAACACAAGTAACCAAATACTAACAATAAAATGACAAATCAAAGGTTAAATTGACAAGATTTCAAGACTTGAAATCAAGTCAATCAAGAAAGAAGTCCATTTCTGCTCTGTGTTCTAACTCTGCATGCTATTCATAAGCAGAGGGCCACCCTCTAGCTACACAGGGGTGAAAGCCTCAGGCCAACAGCTGGTTGTTCAAATAGATTCCTGCTAGGTACACAATCAAAATTCTGTCGTTAAAGAGACTTACATTACCTGGACTTCTCTGCTTGCAGATTTGAGCAGTCAGATCTTGTACATACTCTGGAAATTGTTTAAAGCTGTCCCCATAAGACACTACTTTTATTCCATGCAGAAGTATTTTTTCCTGGAGCTTAAAGAAGTGTTCTTTGTTTTCTTTAAGCACCACCATATAATGTTCTAAATCCACCTTATTCTTTACAGTGTAAAGAAAAAGAGCTTGGAATATCTGATCACGCAGGGTCTCTCCACAGCCCAAAAATAAAAAAGACTTGGTTTGATACAGATTTTGAAGAACATCCTTTTAAGAAATTTAAACACACACAAATATAACACAAAATGTATTTACTACCATAAAGAAAAGGCAAAAATTGAAACTTTTGAAACATGTCCAGCTTTTTTTTAAAAAACGGAGCAACTATCAGTATTAAACCTAATTAAGGATTTGTTAAAATTGGGATGAACTGATGTGTCGCTAGTAATGACTCCACAAACACACGTGTATCAAAAATTAAAGTCCCAACCCAAAAATTAGGTAAATACGTAAATTTTTCCCATAAGTGCATTTTACATGGAAAGAATAATAATCACAGAATATAGGTTGATCTGTAAACAAAGAAAATTAATATTCTTGACAAAATGACTTTTCAAAATACCTACGGCATGACATTAAGTCCAGGATGTAGAGTTCATAACAACCTAAGCCTTTGAAAAAAAAAAAAAATGCATCCAAGCAATCAGTTGATGAAGAATCCTTGTACCAGCATCAGCTAACACACACAGTGAAATGCTAGCACAATTTGGATACGCATTTTGATTCTGCACTGAAGTTCTTGGTACTTATCTCAGGATATTGGCCACCATATCGCATTTCAAAACTGACACACAACCGGGGATTGTGATTGTGGTTTACCAAGGGCACCCACTGCCCAACACCACAGCTGGCTTCTGGAGCACTACTGCCACTTTATCCGAGGCCCAGTTGTTTAATCTACATGATCTGACAAGACTCCAGTCTAAAATAAGACAGTGCAGTGACTAAAAGAGAATAGCTTGGCAAAGCAGAATAAAACTTTACAAAAATTACGCATACCATAACTTCATCATCTTGAGTGACATCTTTATATCCTGAAGGATCTAAGACCATTCCACATGGATCTGTATACGGTCCATGAATATGCAGAACTCCATATTTTATATGGCCTCTTGCCCACTGAAGAACCCAAAGAAAATCATGGATATTTCATTACACTCTACTATTTATATATTACAAAAATATATGGCTGCCCTAACATATGAAAATGATGTAAAGCAAAGGTGACTTCTCTTAAACTTGTCTGCAGTACAGCAGATATAATTGCAACTACTTCTTGCATAACTCATTTTATTATAATATGGGAATGACTGTTGGTATTGCAGATATTTGAAGATTTTTGGTCTAAGCAAGTGTTCACGTAAGAGACAAGTTCTAGCAAAGATAACAGAAAAGATACAAACAGGCAAATTAATTAAATTACCTGCTGGTTAAATCATATTTGTGATTGTAACAATTCATTTAAGTGGCTGAAATTATTTTTCTAAGGGGGCAAGGGGACTGGTTAATAAATGTGGTAGGAAATCTTTCATAAATTGTATCAGGTAATTAAGAATAGATAGATCACTTGTCTTTACAGCTTCCTTTACAGGTATACTTTACAAACAAAGAAGTGCTGACAGCCTTCTTTCAACCAAGAAAAGTCTTCCAATGAATTATAAGTACTGCCTACTCTTATGAGAAGTGGGAACATTTTTACAGGTCTCATCATACCTTACTCTTATCTTTCAAATCTAAAGATTCCATAGGTTTGCCCTGTTGTTGACCAAATAGTTTGAGCAAATTATCATAGTTTGTAGTCAGGACCATCGTGCCTCTCTCCATAAGCCTTAGGATGGACTGCAGAACAACGGGATTCTGAATGTGCTGTTCTAAATTACCAAACACCTCAATTAAACAATCCTGGAAGAAGCTGGGCTTGGTATCACCAGTCCGCTGAAGAAAGAAGACAGACAAACACTTCATCAAGATCACGTGCACCAATGTAACTGCCCTCAGTGGGAAAAACACAGCACTTGCTTATTTAATACCAAAGCTTTGCTTTTAAAGGGGAATTGTGTAACAGTTTTTATGAGTTCATTTAGCATATAAAACTGCTTCTCTGTGCTCTCTGATTGATAAAGAAGTTTCTTCATCTTTTTATCTGCTGCAAACCTGACTATACACATGCAGATCTCTCCCAAAAGGAACCTGTTGTTATACTTTTGGTGTACAGAAAACTCTTAGCATGTATTTCTAAATGCTGAACATATCCTACAGCTTAGCACTATGTACATGGCTATAATTATTTAAACTATAAGGCCTGGCAAAATGGTTAATAAAATCTGAAAAAACTCTGTAACTAAAAATCAACCGTTGAGAGACGGAGCATGTATGGACTTCAGAGAAATATGTGGTGCAGCAGTGAGAAGTTTGTGTGATCTAAGGCTATCAGTAAGGTCATGGGCTACACTATTTTCAGGATCTCTCTAGTTTAAGCCAGCAGAGCTATAAACTCCTCTTTCAGTTCAGGCCAACATTGCTGAGAACCTTTTAACAGTCAAGACCTTTGCTTGTGTTACTTATGACGGAAGTGTAATCTTTTCCAACAATTTTCTGCTAGACTAAAAACTTTTACAATAGCAATACAGTACTTCTAGTTTGACAATATATTAAAAGGTAAAATGCATCTTTTACCTATATTTATTTATATACACATATGTACACTTTACCCGTGTTTTACTGTATATAAACATAATAACTGTATTTAGGTAAGGTGTTACTATACAGAACTTTAGAATTCACTTGACTTCAAAAATTACAGATCATTAACGTGTGTTAATCCAGCAATATGGATGTTTTTAATCTCTTATTTTACAACATCTTGAAACTATCTAGCAAAAAGGAAAATGTTTAACTTGAAATGGCTTCAGACACAGCAATTAAGAAATATGTAGATAAATTTGTTGTAGATAAATATCCCCCATGTCTCCCTGCTACACAAGTTGTTTTTCTCTGGGCAAGCGTATTTATTCCTCACAAACAGTTCAACTGAGTATGAAGCACATGATCACCAGAGTCACTAGTTTCAGAGGACTCTTCCAAGTTTAAGCATGATGCCACTCTCATATTGAATTTTCAATACTGTATTTCAATTTTTTTTTCATACTTCCATTAACAATAGTTGCCTGGATTTTTGTTCACTTATGACTGTTGAACTTTCTGATGAATCCATCTCTGAGCCTTAAGCAAAATAAGGATGGTCAATAATTCTTAAGCCATCTACCTTAAAAAGGCCAAAATTAAAAACAGAAGTATTTATTGCTGTCAGCATTTGCAATTTAATCTTAATCAATATTTTAAAAACAGGAATTTGTACCTCAAATCTCGCATGTTAAGCAACACACTAATAGAAATCAAGCAGACAAATGATGAGTGAGTGAACAGTCATTTAGTGTCTACTGCCATTTTGAAGTTAGTGGAGATATGGCTATTCACACACCTGAAAAACATTTGTGCCTGAATTCAAGCCAAAACTTACCATACTCCCCAAAAGGTTAATTAATTTTGGTTAAGTGAATTTGTTTTTTGAAAATTGTTTACAGCAGGTAAATATGTCATTATCAGAAAACCATTACATCCCCTAAAGATTAATACTCATGTTTTCATATAAAAACTCCTACTGAGCATTTTTACTCATAACACTGCTGACATGACATGAACAAAAATTTAAAAAAACACTTCCTTTCATAAGAATAAGATAATACCATTTACTGTTTATGTATATGGAGTTTAACTAAACTATAAAGCCAATTAACAAGTCCTGTTTCTGTAGAACAGCTAGTTTACACATGCTCTATAAAAAGGACAAAAGGTTAAGATTTTCCTGCAAAATCTTCTAAGTTGTTATCATTTATCATCTTGTAGCCTTATTCATTAGTCTCAAATGAGGATCTGCATAATCAACTGTCTTCAAAACACAAAGGAAAACTCGTAATTTATCTCAGTTCTTCAAAATTCTAAACACACAGGGCAGAACAAGTTGAACTATTTACAATTAAAAAAGCATGGTTAAAATGAAGAAATACTCAGGCATCCACTGTAAATCTGGAATTAAGATGCTCTGGAGTTTTTCTGCCTTTTCACAGTTACTATCAACATTACAGTTGTGTCTGTTACTTTATCAGGTCCATCAAACCAAATGACTAGGGCTTCACACTAATGTGTACTAAATAGTAAAAACAGATGGTACCTAAATTGTCAAAACTCAAATGTCATTCACTTAATAATTTAATAGAATTTAACCAGTTAATCTTGGATTTTCATTTCACCATCCTGAAATCCATGATATACAGATTTTTTTATTGGTTTTATCTTGGTCTCTCTCCTGCTTCTGTGTTGGATTATTGAGCTGCTGTAAAACTCCTCCTTCTTGCAAGAAGCTCCTTCACTGGGACAAGGTCCGAAATACCTTTCTGCTATAACAAGCTCAAAGTGTAACAAGCTAATTCTTATAGGTCTGTCTCCCTCTGAGAACTTTCTCAAGCCATTTTAAATCTAAAAAATTTGAAGTACTGCATCTTGGCAAGAAAATTTGGCAACAGTATCACCAAAAGAAAAATAAGCATCTCGCCACAAGGTACTCTCAGTAGAGATCTTTAGAGACATTTTAGACCTTATTATCTCAGTAACACTTGAGGTCTCTTAAGAAAACAAAGATGTGAGAGTAAGTGGCAGCAATGACCACCACATTGTAATAGCTAAATGGATGTGAATAGCAAATTTAAGATTTCTCCACACCTATGGCTGCTCTAGATATTAACTGTAAACAGTTTTGAACATTATCTAATGGTACGCAATAAACACTTTTTTCAATGAGCACACCTACCACAGGACCCAGGCATTAGCACGGAGCAGCAGTTCCCTTAAGATAATGTAATAGACGAATACATTTTAACCAAAGGCTAGCACATTTACTTTTAAACAACCTTCCCGCACAGCAGTCTGGAGATCACATCTCACTAAAATCCACATACGCTTGAAAATACTGAGCTGGAAATAGGTCTGTGCTCAAAGCACTAGGAGGCTTCACAAGAACACCTAGTTTCGTACTTTCTTCCTTTTCTAGAAGATAAATGTTATTTAAAGGCCTATCCGTGAAACGAGCAGACCAAGGTCCTGTTAACGGCCACGCTGCCCCATCTGCACGAGCCGTTAGCGGCACCTCGAGCGGCTCCGGGGGCGCCCTGGGCGGCGCCACCCG